AAAAAAATTATGAAACAATTTCTTAGTAATTTCTTCAATATCAATTAAAAAGTGATAATGAGCAAGAATTTAAAAATGAATTCATTGGTAAATGGAATAAAGTGCCGGCATCTAAAGATTCTTATAATGAGAAAAAATAAATTGTTGAAATGTTCAAAAAGGAATTGAAACAAAATCAATTCAAGATTTTAGAATCTATGAAAGGAACTCTTCTTTATGTAGATATATTTCATAAAACTTTAGAGGAAAAGCTATATGAATCTTCTGATAATAGTTTGATAAATATTGGTTAATATTATGTTTATTAGCTAAATATCGATTTTATTACAAAATAAAACTTTCTGAATTATATCAATTTACATTCATCAAAAAATTACGAAAAAAATCAAAATTAATAAAAGACATTTCAAGATGACTTGTGGTTGTAGATATAATTATATAGAGATAGAGTTTAAAATCTTTCAAAATAAAAAGCTTAAGACTCGACATCCTAAGAGAATTCTTATATTAAATAATTAAAAGAATTTTTCGTCATTCTTAATTTATTTGGATTTAGTTACAATTAAAAAGAGACCGATAATTTAATTGGAATTATAAAATCAAAGAAATGGTATAAATTTTGGAATTCACATTAAGAAGAAATTTAAAAGGGAATAGAAAATTTTATGCAAACGATAACAGATACAAATAAGCCATTAGATATTATATAATAAGATATAACCAAGAACTTTAAGAGTTTTTATCCATCGCTTATCATCTAGAATGAAAAAAAGACATTTTAAACTTTAGATGAATTAAATAAATTTAATTGTCCAGATTATATAGTCTATCATGAAGTAAAAATTGTTCCTGAAACTAATGATAAAGATTTGTAACCATCGCTTACATATATAGCTACAAAAGAATCTACATATCAAACACATTTTAGAGAAAATTTTGTTTAATAATTTTAAACTATGATGGAGGATTAAGAAGGTTGGGAAAAACTGTATTTTGAATTGTATGATCTTGTTAAAAGCTAAATGATAAATCAATCATAAGGAAGGGAGAATTCTAGTAAAATTTTTAATGAAGGTTCTTAAGATAGTGATGATGATATTGAATCATCAAAATCTTTCCTAATTAAAACAATAATGGAAAAAATTGATTTTTAAATAACTGAAAATTATAATAAATAGCTTGCTAATTATGGGGTTATTTTTAGTCAAATAGGGGAAAGATGTATGTATTATTTTTCACAATTTATAATTTGGAGATTTTCCTGTTATAAAAAATGGAAATCACTTTAATAAAATATAATAAAGTTAGATAATATGTATGATGCTTAACTTGAAAAATTTATGGTGGACATTAATGCAAATAAAAATGAATAAAGTGCTCTTTTAGCAAAAACCCTTGCTAGTAATATTAATGAAGCTTTAAAGAATTCATTTTTCAAGAATAAGTTGCCAGAAGCAGGAAATGATGTAAAGAAATACAAGCTTACTAGTAAAGACCTAATAAAATAATTGGATTCAGATTTATTAGAAAAATATATTTCATAAAAAGAAAAAAAAGTGAACAATAAGTAAATATAAGGTGATGAATTATGGATTGATGATAAGAAAATATAAGAGTATGTAAGTGATTAACTGAAGTTTATAAAAGAATATGCTTTGAATCATATTTCCAAAATTAAAGATAGTATTTAAAAAAAATATTAGGATTAATTATAAAAGGAATTAAAATTTAATTTGGAAATAATAAAAGACAATATTCTTTTCATACATGATTATACTAGATTACAAGAGTCTGCTGTAAAAACCTCTGAATATTTTGAAGATTTAGATAATAAAAACGATTAATCATAAATTGAAAAATAAAACGAATAAAAAAAAACGGATAAAGAAAAAGAAGACTTTCAAGAGAATATTTTATATGGATTGGTTTTAGCTTGTATTTAAGGTGAACCAATACAAGACAAAAAATTATAGTTAATAGAAAAAACATATTAATGTTATTTCAACAACGAGAAATTAAAAAAAATACCAACACCATTTTTAATTAATAATTGGAAAAAATCAGATGAAAAAATTCCTCTTTTAAAATCATTTATAGAAGTATTGTATGAAGAAATTCTTATTTTAATCAAGGAAGGTTAGAAAGTAGAATTGAAGATCTAAGACTTGAAAGTAGATGAGCATCTAAAAGAATTAGAATGTGAAATGATTGGATGTTAATATAGTTGTCCTTTTTGTAAACGTAAATGTGATAATTCTGGAGATAAACACTAACACTAATGTTCGAACGGCCATTAATTGAGAGGTATTAAAATAATTAAAATTATTAGGCATGAATGGAGTACTAATTAATTATAGTAAACCATCATTATTGACTTGTGAAGAAATTAAACCTGATCAACTTATAACAATAGAAGAAACAAAACATTAGTAAAAATGGACAGATGTTAAACAACGTTTTTCTCATTGGATATTTGAAAGTGAAAATGCTGCAAAAACATTAAATAACAAAGAAAAAATGACAAAAGTTTGGAATTAAGGAGTTGGAAAATTGATTTGCCAATATTTCTCAGAAAAATTCAACAGAAAAATTAAATATTTGGATAAGGATGACTATTTTGAATATGAGACTTCTCATTATATTTTAATGTTAGACGATTCTGGTTCTATGAGCGGAGAACCATGGAGACAAGCTAAAGAAGGTGCATTAAAATGTATGTTGTAAATTGGATAAAATCCAAACTCAAAAGTTAGTGTTGTCATTTTTAATGATTCAGCAAGAGTTGCCATAGATCACATTTCAATAGATATAAAAACTATTGAAAGTGAAGGAGATAAATATATCTAATTTGAAAGTGGATGTACAGATTTTGATTAAGCTTTTCTAACTACTTATAGTTAGATTCTTAAATATAAAGATGAATGTTATGATAAGTAATTAATCATTTTAATATCTTAGAACCATTGTTTTATTTTACACAGATGGATAGGCATCATATCCTAGAAATGCAATTGAAAAATTTGAATAATTAGATGAACAAATTCGTTCTACACTTTCTTTAACAGCTTGTGCTTAAGATGATGGAAAATCAGTATCCATGATTGTAGATAATTTAAATAGATGTAAAATAAAGGCAGAATTAAAAAAAGATGTTTCAGTTGATGCTATGGCTAAAGTGTGGTCAGAAGTAATAAGTGAAAATTATCATAAAGATTGAAACAAATAAATATCATAAAAATTATATTAATTATGCATATAAGAAATATTAAAATAAATATTTTCTATTAATAAATATAAATTAATTATTATTTAATAAAAATTTTTTAAGAATTTATTCGAAAAAAAAAATATTTAAAATTGAAAATTAAATGAGCTAACAAACACAAATTTATTATGATCCTGACTGTTTGAATTTGCAGTGTGCACCAGTATATATATAAAGGAGATCATAATTGGTCAAGAAAATTATGATTAAAGAATCTTAGAAGGGATAAAAAGTAGTCAATTAAATGATTGAAAATTTCAGAGTTCAATAAAAAAGAGTTATTGAGTGACTATTAAAATGTCATAAAGGAAACGTAGAAAAAAATAAAAACAACAAAAACAACTGTAAATATATAAAATTATTCTAAAATTATGATTAATCATTTTTATCTCTTATTAGAAATTTTGAGTGTTGCAACAGTTTTAGTGGCTTTACAATTTTTACATTCTTTACTATAGAGTCTAGATTCAACATCTCTAATGAGTGTAGTATCAGAACTTTTACACAATGAACATAAGACATATTCATCTAAAATTTAAATAATAAATATTTACACAAATATTTTTTGATTAATGTTTCGATTTAAGTACTTGTATACCTTCCTTTAATGATTAATTTTTCATCAGCTTGAGATCTACATATAATTTTTAATAAATACCCTTCAGTACCCAACTCAATTAAAAAGTATTGACTCACATGTTATGCTTCCCGATTCATTTAATTACATATTGCATCAAAATTCTTCCACAAAGTTTTCTTTGTTCCCAATTTGTCAATTTATGGTTTCTCAAGTTGTATATTAGTTTAAGTGGCTAAGGATGGGTTATTTTCTTTCAATAATTGAATGATTCTCTCTAATGCCTTGTTATAATAATCTTTATTAATTTGTGGTTTTGAAACAACAGGTGCTTATATAATAACCTTTTTTTTGACTATCTCAATAAGCAAATAAAATTACCAACTTTTTTTACAGAGTTTTGCTTGTTAAAATCAATAATATCCATTTAAATATTAGATTAAATATTTATATTATTCTTTAATAATGAATATAGTACACATAAAAATCATTTATTTTTAATCCAAATGATTCAGGTTTTATCAAAAATTCTAATATTTTATAAGATTTAATGATTTCTTCAATAGCCTACCAAATCCAAATAGAATGGCAAAAAAAAAAAGAAAACCAGAAAAAGAAAAGGTTAAAATAGAGAATGTAAAACGCCACATTATTCAATAAATCCAGTCCAAATAGTTTAAGCACAAAATACTATTGTTCCACATATTTGGAATGATGAAACTACTTGCATCAAAACTTCTCTTAATAACTTAATAATATTATTTAATAGAATCCATATATAAATGTATAAGATATCCATTTACCAAAAACCACCAATAGGTGAAACCCAAACATTTACTATAATTATAGAAATGTGTAATTAAAGAAAGAACAAATAGAGTACCAGCCACAGAATTACAAACTAAATCATTAGAGGAAGTTTCTGCTAATTTTTAAATGTAAATGAATATATAGAATTGAATCCAATTCTATATAAATAATAATGTTATTTAAAATCTCTGATTTCATTTGAATAGGATTTATACTTAATATTCTTAAATATAATAATGAGAGGATTTTTTAAATGTTATATTCTAAACGAATTGAATTTTTATTTTATTTTATTGATTAATTTATTCAATTCATTCGAGTTTTCTGAAGTAAGAAATGATTATATTGTATAAGATTAATAAAATTAGGTTCATTTTGAGGACTCAAGATCAGGGGTATTAGAGAATTTATTTAATATTCGTTTATTGATAACATTCAATCTCTTTTATTTCTGGTCTAACTTTTATTTGGTTGTATTATGTATTCTTCGCAGTTAATATGGATCTTCAAGAACTCTAGTACTCAAAGTAGGTAATGAAATATCGCTTGAATTATGCAAAGAAATTTTAAAAGGAATTACCTTAGGTGATGGAGTTTGATTATTTTTTCTTTTCTTTTTTTTAGGTAGAACTGGTATCTTATCGTAATTATGAACAGGAAGCAATCTTGCAGGATCCTTGATATGTCCAAGTCTAATCATCATAAACATTTTTTTCCTTTCTAATTCTTCCATATAACCAAAATCTAAATCATTTATCTGTTGAACTACTGGTGATCTTTGCGATTTATCAATTTTTATTAACGGTTTTGATCGAACCGCTTCTAATATAGATGGTGATGAAGGAGGAGAAAAGTGATTTTTTTTGAGTTTTTAAGAAATATCTTTCTTGATCAAGGACAATAATCTTTAACCTGTGAGGTTGGTTCTTTGTTTTGCATTTTCTATCAATACGTCCATTAATTTAATGAAATAATAATATAGTGTGATATTACCTATTAGTGCTGAAGTAAACTTTTTGCACATCCTATTTAGAGTTTCTAAAAGGGGAGCAAATTTGTAGACTATTTGATTGACTTCGATCTGAGTAAGCAAAACTAGTAAAAGGTTGAAATAGTATCATAGGTTCAATATTGATATAATATTAGTCACCAATTGTTAAAATGTACATACTCTCTAATTACTTACCAGAATTTATGGTACAATTAACAAATCAGAAACAAATTCAAATTTAGGAGCGTAAGACATCATATGAAAATTGTGAATAGAGAATATTTAATGTAGTTCAATTTTCTGGGATTGAGGTGGCTATAATTGGCAAACTAGCTCCTAGTCCTAATAGAGCTGCTTAAGTCATTGATGTTGTTACAGAAGAATTGGATTATTTTAAGGGATATGAGAAAGATGTCGAAAGAAAATTAAGAGACAATTTTGGCATTTTAGAGAAGAATAATTGGTAACGATTCTGTCCAAACATTGTTGCAATTAATTTAAGTGTTGAAATTAATATCTATCAGTATGGCGAAGAATCAAATGCAATTGCTTAATTCTTAACAGAAATAATAAGAAAATATATTTTGTACTTTTATAAGTCAATGCTACTAACTTATAATGTTTGGCAGAGTATAAACGATTCTGAATTGTTTAAAATGAATAAATCAGTTTTATTGCAATAATAATAAGTGAAGTTGAATCTTTATCAATAAATAACTTCTCTCAAAGATCTATAAAAGACTTCATATAAAGAGTAATGTATTAAAATAAAAATAGATTAAAAAAGAAGTACTTCAAAAACTATCCTAACCTATCTTAATCAACATTTTCTACTCCTGTAAAATAATCTTAAATTAGTCTAACGAGCTCCTAAACTCCAACTAAAACTCCTTAATTATCAAGAAAAAAAGCAGGAATGATTTATAAAAGGGGAGATGGTCCTATAGATTATAATTGGAATTAAAGATATTTAGTATTGGATGGATAAACATTGATATATTTTAAAGATAGAAATGATAAAGTACCAAGAGGAGCCATAAATTTAAGGGAAGCATATGTGTCTCCAATGTCTAGTTTAGATGACAGAGAGCATTGTTTTTATATTGAAGTAGAAGCTTAGAATAATAAGCAATTTTATTTCAGTGGAGAAACAATGGATGAAACTGAATAATGGCGTGAAGAAATTTCTTAAGCTACAATATCAGTAATATAAACAGAAAAAAGATCTTCTTTTGCAGTTACAAATACATATTTATTGACTGATACTCTACCTTAAGAGTTATCTAAATATAAAATTTTAACAATGCTTGATGATTTATAATAATAATGGTAGTTTCGTAAATTTAGGAATGGAGTGAAAATCTACGAAAGTCCTATTTAAAATAAAAGTAATATGAATTGGAAGTTGTATCTAATTTTGAGTCTTGCATTCTGCATTAGTGTATATTTGAAACCAAATTGGCTACCTTTTTTGATGGCTATTTTGGTTGCAGGATTATCTGCTTCTTATTTTAAAAAATAACAAGCTTAGACAATACGTGTTTATGGGAGAATGGTTTGTGATATAGATTCTTCTAAAGCATTTAGAATAATTAAGAATTTAAAATTCAAGAAAGTTTTGGATAACAATTTTGTACAAATTAATAAAATAAAAGACAACAAGGATTTAGAATTTAGTGTAAGTATTATTAATTGATATTAGAAAAGAGCAAAAGTGCATTTTATAATCCACCCTATTAGATAAAAATAAGTAGTATCCAAGCCAGTTATAATTCAAATGAATTTATTGAGATATAGATTTATTATAAACAATGGAAGTTCATTTATAGTGGATATATTGACATCAGATAATAATAAGTTTAATATGTTTGAAGCCTATGAGATTTAAAGAATTCCTAAAGTATCAGGGAAAGGATTAGTGAATTATTATTGCGAGATAAACTGTTCCAGAATAACTACTGAACTAGTAATTAGAATCATTAATAACATTAGGAAAAATATTTATATAATAAAGCAGAGAATCTAAGTTTGATTTCATAAACCATAGATGAAGAAAGGTTTCATTAATTTTAACAGTCTATTGTTAGTGAACTTTCATCCACATATATTAAATAGAAATCAAGATCTATAGCTGGATTTGATGAATAAATAAGTTCAATTACTTAATTGAAGAATGGATAACAATTAAAAAGTAAAAGTTTAGAAGAACGAATTCCTGGATATAGAAGATTCAAAGAAGGAGGAATAGAATGTTTTAATAAGGAAGAGATTAAAGCTTAAGATGGATTAGTATTGGATTTGATGAGATCAGCAGGAAGATAATTATTTGAAGGTCGAAACATTATTTCATTTTCACTTCCTGTACGTATTTTTGAACCAAGATCTATGATTGAAAGAATATGTGATTATTGGGGTTTTATGCCTATCTATATGGAATATGCTATAGGATAATAGGATGAGAAAGAGAGATTTAAATTAGTTGTTACAATGATAATAGCTGGTTTATATAATGGAGGTAGATAAAAGAAACCATTCAATCCAATTTTAGGAGAGACATTTTAAGGTTCATGGTAAGATGGATCATCAATTTGTATTGAACATACAAGTCATCATCCTCCTATATCACATTTCTATATTGAACATTTCAGAAAAAAATATAGATTTTATGGTCATTTTGAATACTAGGCTGCTCTAAGATATAATGCAGTTATTGGACATTAAGTTGGAGAGAATGTTGTTGAATTTACTGATGGATAGAGAATTACATTTAGTATGCCACCAGTTAAAGTAAGTGGTTTGATTTATGGTTCAAGATTATTGGAATGGTATGGTAGTATCAAATTTGTTGATTAAAAAAATGATATGGTTTGTGATATTAAGTTTTCTGAAGGAGCAGGCATGTTAATTGGTAGAAATTAAAAACCAACTGATTATTTTGAGTATCACATTTTTATTTTGTTTTTAGGGGGACTTTGTTTTAGCATAACAGAGTCATTTCTAAAGTTGAAGGCTCATGGCTTGAATTTATTAGTTGGGATGGAATCAAATATTGGGACATTGAAAAAATAGATCCAGCATATATCATTAAAAGTGAATCCCCCTTACCTAGTGATTGCAGATTCAGAACAGATCTTATTGAATTATCTAATCATAATTTAGATGGAGCATAAGAGTATAACCATTAACACTAATCTATAGGGAAAAAACTAGACTTGAAATCATTTAGAGAAGAGATAGAAAACTAAGGCAAGATTATAAAAATATAAAATAGAAATGAATAATATATTATTATTAAATTATGTTATTCCAATTTTATGTTTCAATTTATAAACAACTTACTTTAAGAATAGTTATAATACTTTATAAATTTATTTATGTTTGAATGCTTATAAATAAAATCAGAAATCAAAATAATGGTATGTAATATTCAATTTATTACACTATAAAATCTGGTTATTTCCATACAAAATCATGATTACAAATACCTGGACATTCAACATAAGTGCTTATTTAATTGCCTAAAAGAGACTAATCATATGCTAATTCAAGAGAAGCATTCATTGAACATAGATAATAGTCACAACTTGAACCTGTTAAATTTCTATCAGCACAAGTTATAGATTGATTTGAAGCAGTAATTACAATAATTGGCTTATTAATCATTGAAGATGGATTTATAATTGAAGCTTACATACATGATTCATTGCATTCTTCAACCTCAGATGCAGATCCTAGAGATTATGAATACCAATTTCTTGTTGTAGTTAGTTACCAGTTCACCCAATATTATAGATTTGGGGGTTCAAATCCTGAACTAGACATAAAAAATGGTGTTTCAATATATAAGGGCCATAAAGATGCCATAGCATTAATAAGAGGTTATTTTGATAATTGTTATGCATAAACTTAATTTGCAGTTTAATTTTAACATACTCCTACTAAATAGAACCAATTCATCACAGGTACTGAATCTAATAAGATAATTCCTTAAATGCTAACCATATATTGAGCATAATATCGACAAAGTTAACCTCCAACAGAGTGACCAACACAAACTATTGAATTTGGTACTGATGTATTAAACCCTACCTTATCCATCACTTATTAAGCAATTATCATTGTATTTTCAGAGCTTTAAGGTGCTGCTGCTTACCAACTCATTCCATAACCAGCCCTATCATAACTACAAACTCTGTAATATTAGGATAGTTGACTTTGAATTTCATAAAAATCTACTCCACTAGAACCTCCTCCAGCTTCTAGAATTATTTATGGTAAACTCTTCAATCCAGTACAATAAGTTCTGATTTTTACATCCTCACCTTAACTTTTAACAACATAATATTCTTCACCATCTCCCAAACTACCTGGATGATTAGCTTCATGTATTATCTAACATGTATTCAAAATCACTAACAAAAGCACAAAACAATACAGAATGTACACTAAAGTGATCATACATTTTGTTTTTTTTTTTTCAGGGATTTGGTTTTCTGTTTACTATGTTTATTGTGTCAAATTGACATCAAATTCTTATTCACTCTCTTTCCTTTAAAATCTCTACAGAATCCATATTGTAGATTATAAACCTCCAATAATAAATGTAAATAAGCATATGAATGCTGCTAGAATGTTGGCAACAGGATTAATGAACCAACAAATAAAATCTATCAAAGAGAGTATTGCTATTGCAGCAACAATAATCTCTAATCCAAGTTCGTATGAGGCTTACTTTCTTTGGTACAAAATATCATTTATTCTAAATAACAAGCATATTTAGACAAAAATGCAGAAGATTAATTCTATAAAAGTACTTGCTGGACAAGATTTAGTCAATCTTGCATAAGGAGTTATCATGTTCACTAGAAAAACAATACAAAGACTGCCAATAATAACTAATAATCCAATTATTCCCAATTTTATCCAATGAGCATGCTTTGCTTCTTTAATCATCCCTAACATTTTCTGTGATAATTTAATGTGGAAAACATAAATACACTTATATTATTCAAAATTCCATATTATATATAATCTATATTTTCAAAACAATCTATATAATTAAACCACTTATTTGGTTTATATTTTTTCATAAACCAAATGGTATATAATATTGTTTCTTTCTGAATAAACCTAACATAGATCAAAATTTAATGCTCATTATCTATGTCCAAACTTATTTTGGAATATATATCATCATTAGTCATTGGAATTTATTAATCTTTTAAAATGTTCTAAAATAGATGGATAAATTCTGAAATAATTATTCTGTATATAGAGCTTGAAAGAGAAAAATAATTTATCAATATAATAAATATTATCAAAAAGTTTCGAATAAATCAGAATACTAAAAAATTTCTCATTAAACTAAAAATCAACTTTTGTGCACAAAAAAACTAACCGCCTTTAAGTATAAAAGAAAAATATAAATTAAATAATTTCAAATTAAAATAAATCATTCAATGACAGAAGTTTCATTACTTTAAAGATGAGAAGCAGAATAACTAAAATGAATTTAAAAGCAAGAATTTTTTAAGTAACAATTATAAAAATTTTATTAATATTTATTATTATTTCGAATTTTGCAATATAATGTATTATTATAAGTAATTCTAAATAATAAATAAAATATATTTTTTGATGATTTATTGATATTTAACAAAAATACATAAGAAATTCATCCAAAATTTTATTAGGGATTTCATAACAAAAATTTGTTCAAAAAATTTTTTCCAAGATTCTATATGAAAATATTATTATGATTATTTAGTAGATTTTGGTAAATTGCACAAAAATAAAAATGATTCATAAAATTAGTTTACTCATAAATATGAATTTATTTTAAAGTTTGGATTGCTTTTTTTTATAAATTTTATCAAATGTATAAAAAATTGAATTGCTATTAAATATGATACAAATCAGATTTGAATTTTCAAACACAGTATTGAAACATTATCCTTTGTTTATCTTTTTTGTGCTATTTTCTACAAAAACTTAGTGACTTCATCAGCTGATTCTTTATATCTAATGAACTATAATAATTCCTAAAATAAGTGATGTGTAAAATTGATACTTATTCAGTTACAACATCCCATAAACCATCAGATGCTACAACTACCCATTTATGAGAAAGTCTCAGTTCTATTCTAACCAAATCAGGAGTACAAATTAATCCATATTAGGTAAAAGCGTGATCCCCAAAAGCCCTTGATATAGCTAAAATTCCATTTAATCGATCCATTAACACAGTTCCCTAATGCTATTTAATACGAGCCCTCTCTATTTAATTATTAGGTTTATGGTCTGTCGTTAATGGGATGACTGAATCTCCAAATAGAAATGCTCTAGAATCTCCAACATTTGCAAAATATAAGACCCTTTTAGCTCCTTCTAGTCTCATCAATCCTATACTAGCTGTTGAGCCAATCTCATTTGAATTACATTCTTATTTAACCAGTTCATTGACCTTAAAATGAATTATGTTATACTTTATCAAATGTATCCTAAAGTAATTTATCAAATGGTCTTTATTTTTGCTTATGTAACTGAAGAAAAACCTTAACATAGTTAATGAATGATAAACTTTAGGGAAATTAGTAGATACAAACTTGGCAACAGTTTATCCTCCATGACCATCCATAATGCCAAATAAAATAGACTGACTTCCATCTTCTAAAATGTTGTCCTTAATAAAATAAACTATATGAAATTCAGTCCATACAATCCTCCATTTGTTATCTGTATGGCAAATTAATCTCTTCATCATAAGCATATTCTTTTGCACCGATTGCCTTTGGTATATACACACTTTAGTTAGTATACATTATTTTAATGAATAAATTATTGCTTATAATTCTAAATTGTTGTTTGGGTAGTTTTTTTATGGGATTCTGTTTGGGCCAGATGAATATTATAAGTTCAGATGTATACAATGTATATAAAATTGAAGATCCTTTTACAAAAGGTCTAATGCAATGTAAATTATTAAATGTTTTCATTCAGCACTTTTAACAATAGGAGGAGGTATAGGATCCATTTCAGCATCAATATTGATGGGTTTATTTTCAAGAAGAAAGAGTCTCCAAATAACTGATTTTTTTGGAATGATGGCAATATTAATATCATTCATGGATGAAAGCAAATATGCACTTTTAGCATCTCGTTTCTTTGTAGGTGTTGTATTAGGACTTAATGGAGTTCTAGTTCCAGTATATATTAATGAAATGTCACCAAAAGAAAAAGCAGGATTTTTGGGAACAATGAATCAATTGTGTATAACCTTAGGAATCCTATCATCTTTTTTAATGTCTTATTTTTAAGATGTGAAATTACCTATTCCATTTTACTAGATGATGTTATATTTACCTATTATACCCTGTATAATAAGAGCTTGTGCATTATCTACTATATTTAAATATGAAACGCCTGTATATTGTGCAAAAAATCATTTAAAGTATCAATAAGATTAAATCAAAGCTAGTAATTACAAAAGGTTGTGGAAATGATATACTAAGAGAAGGCAGAAAAAATGTATGAACAATTTTAATCATAACAAAAATCTTCAGAAAGAAGAATTACATTTAATTAATTATTTTCATAAAAATATAGATTACGATTGTTTATTGGGATTTCATTGGCCTCTCTACAACAATTAGGAGGAATAAATGGAATAATGTTTTATTCTTCTTCAATTTTTGATTAAGTATAGAGTTGCATTTTAATTAGGTGACTGGGCAAGCATCTTAAAAAGTTTTTTATTTAAATTTAATAGTTGGTTTCATTGGTGTATTTACAGCATTGCTAGCTACAATAATAATAGAATAATTTGGAAGGTATGATATATGTTTAAAAAAATAAGAAAGCCTATTTTAAAATATGGAACCCTTTGGTGTTTTATTAGTTTATTAATGTTAACGTTTTTGATGTCTAATAGTATAGGGAATACAACATTTGGAAAATATTCAATAGTGATCAGCATATTTTCATATCTATTTGGATTTGGATTTTCTTTAGGTCCATTACTATTTATTTATTTAACTGAAATATTACCGGATTTAGGAGTTAGTGCAAGTGGATTAATGAATTGGATGTCTGGAGGACTTGTAGCTTAGATGTTTCCAGTTATTGCTTCCTACGATATATCTTATTGTTTTGCCTTATTTTCAATATTTAATTTGATAGCGTATGAATAAATTTAATTATATAAAAAGATATTTGATCATCCAAAACAAAGTGGTTGAAACAAAAGGATTAGACAAGGAAACTGTAGAGAAATGTTTTGAAAACTAAAAGTTTGATTACATACCTTATTAGGAGGCTTACCAAGAAGAAAGATTTCGTTGAAATAGAAATTGGATGAATCATTGTCAATCATAATTATATATATATCAAAATCAGAGAAATATCTATTAATCCTTCTCCTTCTTAGTCCCAATATTTTTTAGTCTCATCACCAATCTCTTTTAATGCTTAATCAATATCCTCCTAGCAAGTTGGAGGAAAATGAGCATCTAAAATTTAATCGATGACTAAAATATCCATTATTTCCCACATTCCTGTAGATCCAATCAATAAATATCCTGATTTAGGAACTTTGAATTCTGTTATTTCTGGCTCAGCAATTATTCCAACAATTTTGCCAATCATATTACCAAAACATCTAGTTAATTTGACACCAGGTAAATTCTGTTTTGGTGCCCAAACTTTCAAACTTCCACTCTTTCTACCTTTTTAGATAGATTAATCTATTTTGCCACCCTTATTGAGTATCCTTTACACTTCTTTACTATTTGTTGTGTCATGAACAAAATTAAGATTTTTCTATATAAATTTTCTTACTTCTTTTGGCCCACTTGGATCAGAATCTTTTTTGTAAAAAAAAGCAGCCTTGGAATCACCTAAATTTGCACAATAAATTGTATTATTCAGTATTATCATTGTTAATAATGAGCAGCCATTACTTTTTACATCAAAATCCGTTTACTCTATCTAAAAAGTTTTAAATTGTAAATATACCAGATTTTGTTCCACTTGTTAGTAAACATCTTATAAACTTTAATGTATTGACAGACTCAATCCAATTATTGGTATGTTGTGTATTAATTGTACGATTTAGTCTAATGCACGATGAGTGATTATTTTCGAAAATTATTTGCCCAAATTTCCATGGCTATCTCCAAGTCCAACCATAAGATAGTCTATATTCTGACTTTTTTGTGTGTTCAAAACAACGGTATCGCTGTTTCTCACTAAATTCTTAGCAGCATCCAAACCATCAAGTTATCTTTAATCTATTTAAATTCTTACAATGAGCTACTAAATTAAACCAGGTTTTTAAATTACGAAGTTATTGACATCCTCTATATTGAAGTCCTTTTATTTGTGATTATTAGATTTCTATTTGGAGCTCGGTATGATTAGGATATTTATTATAGTTTTGACCACTGTGATTATGCTTCAATTTTAGGACTTGAGTTAATATCTGGCAAAGTTCGAAGAGATCCTCTTACTATTGCTGCTTCTTAAACTGTTTTCTGTATTTTCAGAAAATTTAAGGGTACCAATTAATGAGAACTTCTATGAAAAGAAGATATTCCTTGTTTTTGTTTTAGTCCTTGAAGTTTTTTTTGTTAAGCACTCATTTAAATCAATTATTATTAAATTCAGATATCAATAAAATACTTAAATATCTTGATTAACTTATTAAATGTTTCTATTTTCTCAAAAATAATCTCTTTTTTTATTAAATCGTAATTTTAAATAATCTATATATTTCAATAATAATATAAAACTTCGCGATATTATAATACCAAGTATTCGTAGTCTTTTCTTGAAAGTCTCTTTATTTTATTCTATCTTTTAGTTGATTAGTATTCATCTCATTATGAAATTATTCAAAAGTTATACTCAAATTTGATTTTCTTCTTTCTGTCGTTCGAAATTCTCTTTCTTACTTTTGGAATGTATTCATTTAACTCTTATCTTATGAAGTCTCAATCTCTTGTGATTACAATTATAACTAACTTAATAATTTGACTTATTTAAATAAGTCTACCTTTTAACTTCTATTAGACACAAATTACAGCTGCCAGTTTATTTTTGGTTTTGCTTTCTAATATTTTTTAATTACATCAAATTCTTTCTATTATTAATAAAATAAATAAATTTCCATGATTATCTTGAAAATAATATTTTGTCAGGATCTTTTATTAATTGTGCTATTTTTTTTACTAAATAATCTGTTCATTGATGATATTCTTGAATTCTTTTAATGTCTGTTTTGTCATCACTAACTCTCCTTTTTATGATTCCACAATTATATTTAAATCCTTAATCTTATTTTTATATATATGAGAGATTTTTTCAACGTTTTTATTTACTATATCCAAAGTACCTTAATTAAATGTCTCTCAATTAAAATAGTATCATTATTTTTTTGTGCATAATTTAATCTATAAATTTATACACTTAAAATTTGGATCTCCCATAATTAGCTATTTATAATTCATCTCTTTTAAGTTTATCGATCAGTTCTTTTAAATACTATTTAGATTTTTTATGCAAATCTTAATTGCTATCATCAATATTACCTATTTTCCTTTCTTTTTACATAGTAAACAACTTAACTTTATTACAAGGGTTTTCTATTAAATGGCTTTTAAGATTATAAATTAAATTAAGCAAATCTGATTTTTCATAAATATTCATTGCCAGCATTACAAAATTATTTTTAATTTCTCTCAGATTTTAGTAGAACGAGACTTTTCAATTTAATTAATTAATTGAGTAAACCCATTAGCGAAAAAATTGCAATTTTAGAATTTGTAAATTTTGGCGCAAACANCTTTTTTTATTAAATCGTAATTTTAAATAATCTATATATTTCAATAATAATATAAAACTTCGCGATATTATAATACCAAGTATTCGTAGTCTTTTCTTGAAAGTCTCTTTATTTTATTCTATCTTTTAGTTGATTAGTATTCATCTCATTATGAAATTATTCAAAAGTTATACTCAAATTTGATTTTCTTCTTTCTGTCGTTCGAAATTCTCTTTCTTACTTTTGGAATGTATTCATTTAACTCTTATCTTATGAAGTCTCAATCTCTTGTGATTACAATTATAACTAACTTAATAATTTGACTTATTTAAATAAGTCTACCTTTTAACTTCTATTAGACACAAATTACAGCTGCCAGTTTATTTTTGGTTTTGCTTTCTAATATTTTTTAATTACATCAAATTCTTTCTATTATTAATAAAATAAATAAATTTCCATGATTATCTTGAAAATAATATTTTGTCAGGATCTTTTATTAATTGTGCTATTTTTTTTACTAAATAATCTGTTCATTGATGATATTCTTGAATTCTTTTAATGTCTGTTTTGTCATCACTAACTCTCCTTTTTATGATTCCACAATTATATTTAAATCCTTAATCTTATTTTTATATATATGAGAGATTTTTTCAACGTTTTTATTTACTATATCCAAAGTACCTTAATTAAATGTCTCTCAATTAAAATAGTATCATTATTTTTTTGTGCATAATTTAATCTATAAATTTATACACTTAAAATTTGGATCTCCCATAATTAGCTATTTATAATTCATCTCTTTTAAGTTTATCGATCAGTTCTTTTAAATACTATTTAGATTTTTTATGCAAATCTTAATTGCTATCATCAATATTACCTATTTTCCTTTCTTTTTACATAGTAAACAACTTAACTTTATTACAAGGGTTTTCTATTAAATGGCTTTTAAGATTATAAATTAAATTAAGCAAATCTGATTTTTCATAAATATTCATTGCCAGCATTACAAAATTATTTTTAATTTCTCTCAGATTTTAGTAGAACGAGACTTTTCAATTTAATTAATTAATTGAGTAAACCCATTAGCGAAAAAATTGCAATTTTAGAATTTGTAAATTTTGGCGCAAACATGTACCAAAACAAAAATTCAAAAGTAGATAAAATTTAAGAGAATCAATATAAATATTGGTTGTATCATCGATAATAGAAGTCATAATTTTTATAATAACTGATAGCACATCTCTTTGTTTTAATTAAAAATTTAGATTATTTGTTTAATTGACTTGTCTAGTTAAAGTAGTATAAAATTCATAATATATAATATTTTAACACATTTCATGCTATTATTAATTTTAAATAATGAACAATAATATTGTAGAAGATGATGATGATCTACTTATAAGTGGAGCTAGGAACTATAAAAAAGGTTAAATTAATTTAGATTTATCAAATTATTCATGTAATATGTAAGAAATATCTAATGTTTAATTAGACCTGATATTACACCATCATTCGATCTAAACAATTTTAAAAAGCTCATTTTGAATGAAAATTTAAACATTAATGATTTATAGGAACTGATTTTAAATTGTCATTTGAGTTCAATGAAATTAAGATTTAGCATATGGAGATTGTTTTTAGGGATTTTAAAAATAAATGATTCACTAGAATAGAAAATCAACAAGTTAAATCAGAATAGATCAGATTATTAAAATTTAAGCAAGTAATATTTATAAGCTGAAACAAAGAAAGAATCCAAAAGAAATATCAGAAATCCTTTATTATAAAATTAATAAGAATAGCCAAAACCAAATGTAAATAAATTTTATAATTAAAGGTTTGGAATAACTTTTTCGAGATTAATCACTTAAAAAGTGAGATAAAAAAGGATGTTGATCGAACCCATTAAGACAAATAGTTGTTTTAAAGTTTAAAGATTAAAAATTTATTGTCTAATATATTATTTATATGGAGTGTAAAGAACCCTACAATTTCATATCGATAAGGTATGAATGAATTGGCAGCAAATGTGATTGATGTTTATTTTACAGAAGCTTAAGGATTCAATCATTTGGAAGATAGTGAAGATAAGAAGGAAATTGCAATATTTTATGATACAAAATTTGCAGAGGAAGACATCTTTTAATTGTTTGAATAAATAATGAATGCTCATGTTGATATGTTTAAACATACTCCAGAGAGTCAGAAGAAACAGCAACTTATAATATAAAGCAGAATCTAAAAAATATATGATTAATATTTGAAAATAATAGATGTGACTTTATTCAAGCATTTAAAAGTTTAGGATGTCGAACTTTCTGTATTTTTAGTTAGATGGATTAGGTATTAAATATAATATTGATGAAGATGTATGTTTACAAGAGAGTTTCATGTTGAAGATTCCTTAAAAGTTTGGGATGCCATTTTTTATGACTATTACCTCACTGAAGATAAAACATGGTTTATATTGGTTGATTGTATTGTTATTGCGATGTTTGTTTATGTTCGAAATTAAAGTAGTGGATTGCTGTTAATTTCTAGTACTTGAGAAGGATGATCCAAATGCATGTTTAAAAAGATTTCTAAAATATCCTCCAGTTGAAAGTTTAGCATAATTGATATAAGCAGCTTTTAGCATAAAAGGTGTCTTATAATCTGCTAATCCTGAATAAGCCTTACTTTAAGATTAATTTTTGATTACATTTCTCGGGAGTAGAGATGTCAGTTAGTCTCCAAAAATGTTTTATAATGTTAAGAATCAGGAAATCCCTGAAGAAAATAATAAGTAAAGATAATTATAAATTAGATTGTTAGAAGCCACTAATTTGAAATAACCAGAAATCATTGAAGTTTAGATTAATTAAGCATAAATAATACTTAAAGCATTAAATCAAGGAATTATGTGTATTTAGAGATTTAATACTGATAAATCTGTAAATGAAGTGAAATAATTACTTGAGATTGCAAAATCAGAATTAATAAAATGTTTAGATAAATAATAAATTTGAATTTAAAGCTCAAAGTTTATTTTAACTTAATAGTTCATGTAAACTCTCCTTTCTTTGAAGTCTGTAAATAGTTTCAGCTAATAATGGTGCAACACTTAAAACAGTCAACTTATCTTGTAAAATTAATTTATCTAATTCTTTAACTTGTATGGTATCCGTTATAAAAATTTTGGATAAATTTGATATTGCAATTGTGAGGACTGCTTTTTCTGATAACACTGGATGAGTTGCATAAGCCATAACTGATTTAGCTCCTTCTCTTTTTAAAATATCAGCTGCGTTTCTAAGAGTTGTTCCTGAATCTACAATATCATCAATAATCAAACAATTTTTTCCATTTACATCTCCAACTAGACTTATTTCTTTTTCAGCAACTGGATCCTTCGATTTATATATCATAGCCATTTCTTTTAAAGATATTAAAATGATTTTTACTTGTCTTAAAATTAGGGAATGCAAATTTTAGTTCATCTTGAACTTTCTTAACTCTTGAGATACCATTAAAATCAGGAGAAACTAAAGTCAATTCATTTGGAGGACTTAATTTTAATGGATGATTATTAAGTTCATAAATAAGTGTTATATATGGACAAAGATTATCTACAGGAACATCGGTTGAAAAAGCCCCTTAAAGCTGTCCTCTATGAAGATCAATAGAAACTAGATGATCAATTCCAATTTATTCTAACATTCTTGCAATATCTGCTGCTGCAATTGATTAAGTTTTAACTAGTTTGTGGTCTTACCTCGAATATCCATAATAAGGAACAATAACTGTTATTGATTTTACAGATGCCCTTCTCAAGGCACTTATAAACAAAAATAATTCAACTAAATTTTCATTCACAGGAGGACATGTTGATTGAATTATAAAAGCATTCCTTCCTCTTACATTTTCTAAAACCTAACCATTAAAATAACACAACTTATATATTGCATTCTCCATCTGCATATCTCTCCAGTACAACATTTCCAAGTGTTATACCTAAACATTTAGCAACCTCATTTGCCAATTTACTATTAGAATTTCCGCTAAATACTATAGTTTAGGGTCTTTTCAAAATTATTATGATTAGTAATACTCAATCTTATATTTTTTTTAATTAGCATACACTTTTGTGTATGATTCATCTTGACTGTGAGTTGATAATTTAAGCAATGAAGGTTTACAAAAAAAAGGAACAAAAAGATATTTCAAATTTCTCATTTTATTTTTAGATTGAATAAATGTTAAGCTTTCAATTTATTCATATAAACTATTTTGTAATACTTTTCTTAGTATTATAAATATCTAATGAACCCAATATATTATTAAATAAGCTTTCTGAGAAAGAAAATATAAAATTTTATAGTTATTTCAATAATATTATAATTTATATGTAGAGACAATTTTAATCAGAGTAAATATTAGCCAACCATTTTTATTTTATCGGTTGTTTGTAAGACCAAGTCTAATTTCATAGGATCTACTTTAAAAGTACTTACAATCAATTTAGTGCTTTATTTCTAAGTTTTTTTTCTCTTATATGTAATTTTAGGCAATATTCCTCTTTAGTAATCAATTGAATATTACCTATCCCTTTCTGTTGGATAATCAAGATCACATTAATTAACCTTTAAATTATATTAAATATTACTTCCTTATCATATTAAGAGTTGAAAGATGAGAAAAATTTTAACATCTCTGTTTCTTACTTAAATTCTTTAATTCGATTCATTTAATTTTCTATCTACACTGGATCCAATTTACTTAAAAATTTTAAATTCTTTTTCATTGGAGAATTTATATCTTAAGAAAAAGCCTTTTATTAACCTGGAAAGGATGTTTAAACTTAATCTTCAAATTTCAAAAACTAAACTTTATTTGTATCATCTTTTCCTAATGATTTCAATTTCTATTCTTAGAGATGATTCAATTCTTCATAACAACTATCTAAATTTCGATTAAAAACTATATCTTGTTTAGCTGCATTTTAAATTTATTCTTATCTCTATTTATCTAATCATATAACAGTTAATTAATACATAACATTATCTAATATTTAACATCTTAATCAGCAATAGATTCTAATTGATTAATTAATTACTCTATGATAGCACGTTTTTATGATAATGGCATATTATCAGGAATTTAGTACTATTCCATTAATTCTCTTTCGTACTTCATCTTCTCCAATTATTTTTGATATTCCAATTATCTTTACCTTTCTTTTTCTTATTATTCAACTTTTTTTGGCTAAAATATAAATTAAATTTATTTTTACATCATGGGGAGAATTTTAATTTGAAGATTTCCTTCTAGCAAAATTCAAAGCAGCAGCTGCAACAGGTAACTTGAGTTATTTTGTGTTTTTGACTGCTTTTGATCTATTTGATCTCTCTCCTTATGATGATTCTATAGTTAATTTACTTTCAGGTTAACTTTCATCTGATCTTTGCTATTACTATTATTATTCTCTCACTTAAGACTTTTATCTATTTGATGATTTATTATTTTTTGTACTATTTTATGTATTATTAATAGGAATCAACATTCTTGATTAACCTTAATTAATTTGTAATTGATTTGATTGTTAAGGAATTTGAGAATATGATGAATAATTTCTATCTGATGGAGATATTTATTATCTTTGTTAAGAATGAAGTTAAGAGCTAGTTTATTATTTTTAATTATCTAATCCTAAATTATTAAATGTTGGCATAACATGTTATTGATTTGGCATTTTATAAATAGGAGAACATTCTATTGATTCTTCAATTATGACATTATTTGTATTTTGTTAAGGTTCACATTAATTTACTTAAATATTAATTTATTATTATTGATTCATATTTGGATAATGCTCTTCATCATGCATTATTGATGTCATACTTATTTATGGCATCAATTATATTTATTAATACTATTATTATTAGTCGATGTTATCATGTGTTTAAAATTATGGATATTCTTATTCTTTATTGGTTTCTATATGAGAAGTAGCTGGTCTATTAGCATTCAAGTGGGAATGTAAATTATCTTACTTGTGCAATGAATAATCTAATAATGATACTTAAGACTCTTCTTTCGATATTGAATTTTATTAATATTATTAAAAGTCTGCTTTTTTTTATTCATTATTTTATTAATATTTTAAACTGAATTATTAACTGTCTGGTATTTTTTGTTCATTGGATTGTAAATTCATTTATCTAGTTTTTGTTGATTTCATTGATTGTAAAGTACGAGAAGAACAAGCCGGAGAAAGTAAATTATTATTTTGTTCATCAACTTTTGGACTTATTAAGTGATTGTTCTATTCAATCTTAAGATCTGTTTCATCTTGTTTAAGATATTCAGATTTATGTTGTTTTATGTTTTTATCTTATTTTTTTTACTTTAAGTAAGTTTATTCTTGATTTTTGTCTAAACATTTTGCACTTTAGATGGTCTATTATTTTGATTTAAGATCTTTATCTAAAAAGGGTAATTCTGTGTTAGTTCCATATGTTATCTATTTCAACCTATCACTCTAAGTCATAGGTCTTCTTTATGAACTGAAATCATCGTCATTGCTATAGTATTTTTACAATTTCTCTTTAAGATCCATTTTACTTGAGTCACTACCCATTGGAAGATTTTAAGATTATTTCCTAGAATAACTTTGAGCTTAAGAATGTTAAGGGTTAAATGACTCTCCAATTATATTTTAATCTAAAATTTCTATCTTTGATTAACTATTTTTTGTTTAGGAATTATTTTAGTGTAATTAGGGTTCTAAATAAGGTTAATTCTGCTTTTATTCAGGATTTTCATAACTTTTATTTGCTTTGATCTATTTATCTTTATAATTTCTTTCAAATTACTTTGGATAATTTTCTTACTTTTCTATTTCGCCATCTTAACTTACTATATTTATTGTTGGTTTCTAATTTCTATTCTTAAGCTTACTTTCACTAGTTGTCAATTATTTTTATAAAGAAATGTCCTTAAAAAATTGATCAGCTTAAGTACTATTAGGACTGTTTAGTTAAAAGGGATTTATAACTCGAGTGGTTGTTGAATCATTTTGTTGATAACTAGCATTAGTAAGTAATCTTTGAACCTCTTAATTACTTGTTTTATCTAATCTAAATCTTCTACTCTTTACAGATTATGGTTATGCATACAATGAACTTTCTATTTCAGTAGTCTATTATTCTTTATTATTTTGAGTTTTTTTGCTAGATAAACATAAATAGTTTTTTCTTGAATCTATTGATTTTGAAATGAAAGTTCTGATTTCATAATTAACTTTTAAATCTTTAATTGGTGTTTAGTTTTTTAGCAAATTTCGCTTGATTGTTCCAAAAATTTATAAATGTAATGGTTGAATAGTTTTTTTATCTTTTTGTTTCTTAGTAAGCAACTCACAAAATTAAGCTTAATCAATAAAAGATATTGATGATAAGAAACCTGCTAAGACTCTTTCGACAATCGTCAAAATAAAGAGTTCTTCTCTTTAAATATTCCTCTTATTATTCAACTCAAATTCATAAGTTTTCATTTTTATATTTAATTATGTTTGATTAAAATTTATTTAAAGAAATTCATTATACTAATAAGAATATAAACAATTTTTTTATTAGTTATTTAAAAATTTATATTGTGAAAAGACAATAAAAGCCATTCATAATCTTTTAATTTATTATTATTAGTTTTAAATTAAAATAGCAATTTATTATATTTGAATTTTCCTTTGTGTTTGTTTATTATTTCAGGATCTATCATGAATATCAACTTTTCATTTTTATCTTTCCCATATTAATTTTTTTTAATATAATTAAGTCTTATTGATAATACTATGATTTATAAAGAATTCTAAATCCTCTAAATTTAAATGGATAATTTTCCATTTTCCTATTAATTAAGTGAAAAATAATATTTTTAAATACATCAAATTTAATAAATAAATATTTATTAATAAAAGATTCAAAAGTTTTATCAAAATCAATTTGACAAATCTTACTCTTAATCTTTTGTCAAGCAAACTTTAACAAATAAATACTGATTCTAATATCCTTTTTAAGAATATGTATGTTTTTTAGGCAAATTTAAGGGTTTATAATAATAATATAATAATATTTAAATAATTAATATAAATAATATATTTAATATGGACCATTTTGAATAGCCATCAGCGAAATTGCTTTATCTAATAAATGAAATGAATAGATTAAATTTGATCACTTAACTAGAGAAATGTACACTAAAATGTAAGAATAAAGTTTAATAGGAGAGTTTGTTTTGGAAGAACATTAAGGAATATATGATCTTTTAAAATAATATCCAAAGAGTGACACAGAACTTGATTTGGCTGAGGCCATAATAATATTATTGAGAGGAGCTCCAAATTCAGAATGTATGCATAATTTATTAGTTAGAATAATAAGTTTAGGATGATGGATAATATTAAAATGATTTGTATATCTCAGAAGATGTAAGATGAATATTTATAATAGCTTCAATCTCCATTAGGGCATCAATTGATGAAGAGAAAGAAGGGGTAGAAGAAAAATCAACAACACGAAAATAAGCCTTTTGAATTAAATTAAATACAATGATTTAGTTTACAGGAATATATACATAAAAATATTCATATAATTTATCAAACTAATAAATATATTCCAATAATCAACAAATATAGTTGTTGCGAATATTAAGATGAAGTTGTAATTGTAATATTGGCAGCCTCGATTTGAGGAGTAACAGTATCAATAATAATCTTACTAGGAACTCCTGAATTGCATCTTTCTAATTTTTAATCCCAATAACATTAAGATGTGGAAGTTTGTCTAGCTTCACAATCTTTTTAATTCAATTTTGCACAAATAATCAAACACATCTTTGATTCTGAATGCCAAATACATTTTTCTGGAAACAAAACTAAAAAAATATTAATTTAATCAATACCACAAGAGTTCTCTACATATTAAGAACATTAAATAGAATTGCATTTATTATTACTATAATAACAATTACCACTATATTTTGAGCAATCGCATTTATCTAAAATATCTTCACATCTCAAACATTGGAAGTCTTAAGACAGTATACAAACAAAATTGTTAATTTCAGTTCCTACACAATTAATTTTACTTGATCCAAAAGGTCTAACATTATTACTAATAAATACTTGCATTAATTATGAGAACATTCATAATAATCAGCAAATTAATAAGCCAATTGCCAATAACATTTATTACCTTTGATTTCAGCAGCATCACAACCTTTTTTTAAATTCTCTGTTGTGTCATAATAGATTTCTAATTAATAACATGAATCTAAGCCAGTACATAATCCATTAAACCAGAAACAAGTACCATCTTCATAGGTTCCTGAACATTATTCTTTTTTAGTAAATGTTTAACACAATCTTTATGCACAATAAGTACCAGTCCAATAACAAGATCCATTACATAAAGCATCTGTAAAATTATCCATGCATTGTTTTGTTCTACAAACATCATTAACATGTGGTTAACATTATTGTCCATTTATTGAAAGTTTTGTGCAATCATCTACATTTCTAACTTCATCACATGATTTAGCTCCACGACAAGTGTTTTTGTTAGTCACATAACAATTTTGACTATTCATAGTAACATTAGTACAAGATGAAGTTGATAGATCAGAACAAATTTTAGCTCTACATCTTTGAGATGTTTCATCCCACAAACATAATTACATTTGTCCTTTGCAATTTGAATAATCATAATCTGCACAAAATTTAACACCTGATAAGATGGATGAGCATGTACAATATTTCTAGTCTTTGTGCCATTTGCATACACCAATAGAATTACATCCAAATTCATTTATTCCTGAACTAGAACATAAATCATAGTTATAGACAGATACACATCTGTTATTTAATTAACTAAACTTGCAAAGTTAGGTAGATTCTGATAAATCTGCACAAATTTAAGGTGAAACATTAACTAATTACCGACATTAAGATGATGTAGGTTCATAAACTTAGCATTAACCATTCAAATATATGCATTTTTCTAATTTGATCATTGTACAAGCTATGCTATTTAGTCCTGGACTATTACATTTAGAAGTTAAAAGATCTATCTAAGTGGTGCATCCTTTTCCTGTATGTCTGCAAGGTTATCCTCCATATGAAATTTATTAACAACTTAAAACTGAAGAATATTCAGCTGTTGAAAAAGAGTTTGAATATCCACAAGAAGTGACACCTACTATGATATCTTAAGATATGCATTTATTATTCAGCCATTAGCATGAGTTTAATATTTATGAAACACAAGCTTATTAACTCAAACTATCAGTGCAAAGTTAATTGTTTGTAGCATCAACACAATTATTATCACTCCAAGTACATTTTAAAGATGGCACTGATTCACAAACACCAGCTGAAACTTTTTGAAAATTTTCACACTTGGTTTTACCATCATATTAAGTAAATTAAACACATTTAGATCCATTCCAAGTGCATGCTCCAGCCTTTGTTTATAAACATCCATAATAATTCAACCCTTGAGTATCACATGTATCAACTTCTGGATCAGACGGAATGCAACCATCTATTCCAAATTTAACTCCTATAGGATTACTAATTTTAGAATTTGGTTGTCCATCAATTGTATATGTCTTAGTACATGTATTTGAATTAACATTTGAATATTTACCAATAGGAAATCCATCATCCTGTAATGCAGAACATTTTTATCCTAACCAAACACAGAATTATCCAGTTGTTGTAATAGCAACACAAGTAAACACATTTATTGTCTCTGTGCAAAGTGTTATTTTAGGATCTGCATATTAGCATTTATTATCCTTATAAATACACAATTAAATTGGACTGTCATTTAATACAGCTTCACAAGCTCTTATATTGATATCATCTTCACACTTAGATGCATTTGAATCAACTGAACAACATTCCCCTTGCCACCATTCAGTTAACTCTCCTTCATTTTAAGGGGATAAACATAATGTTTTTTAAGAGTTAGCTACTTATTTGAGTGTGAGATCTTTAGCTTTTGAAAGATCAGTTAATTATTTACAAACTGAATCAACATCCCAATAACAATATTTTTCATCTGGAAGAGACTTGCACCCAAATGGTGAAACTGCATTACTACATTCTGTAGGTATACTTGTATCATAAGTACATTTTAGTGTTTCTTTATTCAAATAACAACCATACCAATAACAAAGCTCCATTGCAATTATAGCTCCAACTTCTGATTCTGGAATCTTTTCTGAAACGCATTGAATATATGTTTCAAAATCATAATCTTTGCATTCGCTGCTCTTCATATCCCATTAACAAAAAAGGGAACCAGTCAAACAAGCATATTGAGTGAAGTTTTCTTTACATACCTTTGCTTTAACAAGATTCTAGACACATTTACTTTTCTCATATTTGCAATCAGCTTTTACATTTTTACAATCGGTTTCATCTGTAGTTGATTTACAACTTACAGCTACAATTTCTTCGCATAATTTTGTTGTTTCATTTTATGCACAAATTTTATTTTCAACGCTTGCATATACAATTCCACAAGTATAGGTACTATATTCATAATTTGTATTATTATAATTTAAACAATCATTATCTGGAGCAATTAAACATTTATTTTCAGTTTTATCCCATATACACCAATATTCAACTTTCATACAATCCTCGCTAGTGGTGGCATTTTAGCAAGGACTATCAATCTTTTTGCATAAATAAACAAATTTATCAAAAGGATCATCCTCTTAAACGAAATAACAACTATTCTCTTGCAAGCAATTCTGTTAATTTTAACCTAAATTACATTCTGCATACACTGATACTTCATTTACACAATTTTTAGTTTCTTTATTATATTTGCATTACACATCATTTTTTGTTATTTTAGCACAAGCAACTGCATTTATCTTCTATGTATATGTAGCACAAGTATCATTTTCAATATCTTAAGTTAAAGGAGTGCACTAATTATCTACATATTAACAAGATTCTCCAGCAACTTTGTAACATGCTTTCTCATTATTATTTGCATCAGCACATTTATAATCGATTGCATTTTCACTTTTTATTAAAATACATTTATTATTAAAGAAAATACAAGGTTATGCTCTATTTTTGCAATCATCTGCGTTTGAAGCTTCAATACATTTATTTGGATTGTAGCATTTTTTTTCATTTAGATCCCAAAAACAATTTTAATCATTTGTTGTAACTAGTGGGCATAAAACTTCATTTGCTTATTTGCACAAGATTTAATCAAGAATTTTAGCTTTATTTGATTCTTCCAATTTCAAACATTAAAATGTAGTAGTATTAAAGTAGCAATTTTATCCTTGAGTTTTTGCAACACAAGCATGTAAGTTAGGATACCTTCCTTAAAAACAATCAGTTTGATGTCCATCTTGAAAAATATATTTAACACATTTATTTTAAGGATCTGAATTTTAGGGTTTGGTGCAGAATGAGTCCTCATCTATAGAATACTCAACATCATTTTCAAATCCAACACAAGTATTATCATTAACTTCTGATAAGTCTTCACATGAATAGTATGTTGGCATTTTAACATCTTCACATAATCTTTTTAAAGTATTCCATTAACATCTTTGTCCTGGGGTAGTAATTTATTGACAAGTAAATTTATTTGGAAAAGATTTACTGCAATATAATGAATTCAATTTAGATGGATCAGCAGAATTGCATTATAAATTAGTTGAATCAAAATAACATTTTTAGTTAGCTGTTGACTTTGGCTCAATAAATGCACATGCATTTCCATTTAGAACATTAACTTCACAGTTTTCAACTATCTTTGTTACACTTGTTGTGCATTTTGTTTAAACTTAATCATATGTACATGCTTCTCCAGTAACTAAAGCACAAGCTTTGGCTGTTACATTAACAAGCCCTGAACAAGCAGCTGTAACAGAAGTTAGCGTTGTACATCCTTAACTTGTCCATCGACAGGCTGCTGTTGGATCTGCAACATCTAAACATCCTCTTCTATTTATTCCTTCTGTGGCACAATTTATTTAATAAGAAGCCTTAGGGGCAACTTCTTTTTCGAATTTTTCACAAGAATAATTTATTGAATTATATTTACAATGTTCTTCTATTCCATTACTCTTATATTACACCATCCTACAAGCATATTCATTGACCAATTTCAATGATTCACAATTTGTTTAATTTTCAATAATATTAACATTTTAACATACTCCTGCTTCTTTACTCCACTAACAAGGTCCCATTTTACTTTATAGACAACCTATTCTATTCAATCCTCTTGTTGTGCAACTTACTTTAGCTATAGGCACTAAACAGTTTCCATTCAACCAATAACAAGCTGAATCTGTTATTCTCCTACATGCATTCTCATTCACAAATTTTAAATTCTCACAGGTTTCATAAAAATCCAATTTCAAAACTGAACATTTTTTTTCTTTTTCTTCAAATCTACAAACCTAACCAACTGCTACGATATTTTGACAAGCTTATTAATTTAAATTATCTCCGCATTTCACTGTTGATAAATCAGCTATTTATTTGCAAATTCCATTTACAAATTAACAATTTTCTTTGACATTCATACATGAATATTAATTTTATCCTAATAATCCACATTATGTTTTAACTCCTTTAAAAATGCATTGATTATTTGAATAAACACAATTAAAACTTGAAGAATTGCAACTTTTTTAACTTGTTGCTTATTAAAGTGCTTTTGATCTACATAATTCACTACATTTTTATTTCTTTTTATAATAGAAACATTCTTAATCCTACCCACTTTTGTCAACATAATTAATTGCAGCACAAAATGAAGGAGAGACAGGTTGAATTTTAATATTACAATCAGCTTTTCCAGTATATAATTAACATCCATTGTTCCAAAAACATGGTTATTTGATATTAATAACATTCAGACAAGCTTCTTTATTAATGATATCTTGACACATAAGATTAGAAAAATCAGATACATTAACACATTACCCATTTAAAAATTTACATTTAGCACCTGGTGTAGTGATATTTTTACAAGCAGCAGAATTCAATCCAGCTGCAGAACAACCTAGCATATTGAGTAGATTAGAATCTACCTCAAGACAGCCTGGAATAGCCAACATGGCTTTATATTTACTCAATATTAAGGGATCTGATCCATATTTATCTATAAGTTAAACTATAAATGTGAAAGCACTAGACTAATGAACAACTGATAGTGTAGTGATAGATTGACAGACAGATATATTTACTAAGTTCATAAAAGAAGGGTCATTTTATGCTTTTGCTAATGATTCAGAAAATTATTAAGCTGTCATGTCTAAACAAAGGCCTTGCCATTAACATGATTTTCCAACAACAGCCAAGCACGCTGGCTTTGAAAGGGATGAGGAACATGATGTTGAACTGATGATTTCACGACAATATCCAGAAAATCGACCTATCACTTTTATTATAACTCTTACAATAAGCCCAATCTTAATTAGGATATTACAACTAATTAATACATGCCAATCTATTCAATGTGGAAGAGCATCCAATATTGTTTGAATCTGTTGCTTAACAAGCACTTAAAAAATCATTCCAGGAACCTGTATCAATTTTTAAATTTTTTTACATTTTTCATAAGTGGATGAGATACATCCAATCTCATCATTTAAATATTAACCACAAGGTTTATGTGCTGATATGCATGTGATAATTAGAAATAACACGCATAAAATTTGTTGTTATGTTTTCATTATTATTTATATAAATATATTTAATAATATCATATTTTCATTTCAATTGTTGGCAAACATTCAGATAAAGAGTAAGTTTCAATAGTTTATAAATGAATTTTACTCTTTCTATCGAAATATTTTTTTAAATATTTATGAAAAAGCGGTTAAATAAATATCCTCAATTCTAATTATATATCAAAAAACTATCTAATTAACTTAGAAAAATCGGTTACTTTAGTTTTATCTATACTACAGCTATATCAGATTGATAAACTTACAACCATTCTAGGATTTTAGGAAGAGTAACCTCTCTTATTTTTAGAATTTTTGAGTATCAGTTATTGTGTTTACTACATGTATTGTATAGTTCATAGAAAATATAAAAAATATTGATGATTTTTATTTTTTTTATTTAGCGATCCGATGTTTCAAAATTATATATCGAGAAATCCTTTTCTCAATTTTTACCCAATCAAAGACATTTTTTTTAAAATAACTTTTAATTCAATCAAAAAATAAAAATAATTATTAGGATTTTTACTACAAATAAATTTATTTGCCAGTTATTGAACTCTCAAAAAAAGGAAATAATGAAAATAAAATTTTTGATTTTATTTTATGAAATTTAAAATTCATTAATTATATTTTTTATATATATATGTAGTTATTTTAAAATTTTCTAAAACAGTTTATTTATTTTAAATTCAAAATATTAAATAAATTCATTTATTAAGTGACTTGTAATATTTTAAATGACAAATAAATTAATTTCATTTTTTATTGTTTAGTTAAAATATATAGCAGAGAAATTAAAAAAATAATTTTAAAACGAAATTTTATTGGTTGAATGAAATTATCAGGAAGCTTTCTAAATCACATCGGCATTTCCTCAATTAATAAATTGAGAAATATTTGAAATTACTCATAAAGCAGGAAATAGATTAACTTTTTCATGCACTTTATCAGAAATCAAGAACAAAAATAGTCTTATAAGCAAAAAATAAAAACTAAAAATAAGGCAAAGATATTTACAGCTATTTTATTTGGGCATTTCAATTATGTTTTTCTTTAAATCTGTTATTAATGCTTAATCTATATTAAGATTTAGAAGTATTTTTCTCTCCTCTCGAGGATTCANAAAAACTATCTAATTAACTTAGAAAAATCGGTTACTTTAGTTTTATCTATACTACAGCTATATCAGATTGATAAACTTACAACCATTCTAGGATTTTAGGAAGAGTAACCTCTCTTATTTTTAGAATTTTTGAGTATCAGTTATTGTGTTTACTACATGTATATGGGATGGAATTATTCACTGGTACCAATGAAATAGAGGACATTAATAACTTTTCAAATAATTCAAACTTTGGCTTTTTGAATAATCATATGACTTTGATATCAATTATGGATAATCAGCAATCAATCCATTCAAAAGTGATGAAATAATTTTACTTCCTTTACTCTTAGATCTAAATGATTGAATGAATTGGCAACCTCTATTTGTAATATGAAGATATCTTTTTGATGATTATAAATGCGAGTCTCAAGAAATCTAACGAAATTATTTCATTCAAATGGGAAATACTCTTTACACAAATAAAGAATTTACTTCTACAACAAATTCAGATATTTTTTAAGTTAATAATGCAATGTTTTTATGGTTGTATTAAAATAATCTTATATCAATTTATCCCTTTTTTAATTTAATTAATCCCTCAACTTTTGAACCAAAATATTTTTATCGAATCTATCAATTTTATGTCTATTCAAATGCTGAAATTTATGTATCAATCTCTTTGCATTTTAAAATGAATCATTATTTAATAATTAAATCTTTAACTCTTTCATTTGGAATCGAAGAACAAAATTACAAAGCCAATTCTTAAAGTTATCCATAAGATTAGTATGACCAATATTTTATGCGAAATGTGTATGAAGTTTTTTTTGATTTTGCTTCAACAAGAATTTTATACTGTCCAACTTGGATACCCATCAATAAGTTAGTTTTTGAAGCTATTAGATCCATAATACATATTTTATTCTCTTCAAAATATATTATTATTATTACTTAATCAAACATATATGAGATAATCAATTTTTAAAAAATTATGAATTTATGTTATCCAAAAATTAAATAATTTCAAATCATTAAAAATTTTTGGGGCATAATAATTTCTGTCAAATTCCATAGTTTATAAGTTGATATTTAGAGTTACTCGTCATCTAAAAATAAATTAATTTTCAAAAGTAAATCTAAATTAATAAAAGACTATAAATCTCAAAGAATTTTAAGTTCTAAAATAATACAAAATATGAAATTCTGAATATAAATCATACATTAATTTTAAGTCAGGAGTATAAGAAATGCAATCAAAATATAGGAAATAAAAGTGAGTTTGAACTACCATAAAGGACGAATCTAAAACAAGACAATTAAGATAGATATAAAGAATTTTACTCGATTTATTGCATCAATCTAAGTGATGAATGGAAGAAAATCACTGATAATTTTATAAGGAAAATAATGATATTTTAAATTAAAATAGCAATTAAATATATAGAATTTTATAATAAATAAAAATAATTCTGGAAAAGTTCAGGTCATAAGGGTAGTATATTAAAAAAAAATTGATAAATAAATTCATTTTAAATATCTTTATGTAATAAAAGCCCGACTACAGAAAGGAATTAGCCGAAACAGCTTAGAAGATTTGCACCCCAGGAAAAGGAATTTTGGCTGCAGATGAAGTACTTAATAAAATAAACAATTTAAGTCTTAAGGAACCATAGGAAAGAAGTTCGTGACAATTAATGTTGAAAATAATGAAGAGAACAGAAGAGCTTATAGAGAATTGTTATTCACAGCTCCAGGAATTGAAAATTACATCAGTGGTGTAATCCTATTTTCTGAGACAGTATAAATAAATTAGATATATTAATAGGTAAAACATGCTACAAAGGATGGAAAGAACTTCGTATAATTACTTTAAGAGAAAGGCATAGTAGCAGGAATTAAAGTTGATAAGGGCTTAGGAGTATTACCAGGAACACAAGATGAATCAGCAACTTTAGGATTGGACTCCTTAGCTAGTATGGCAGCTGAACACTATAAACTTGGTTGCAGATTTGCTAAATGGAGAGCAGTCTTGAAGATTGGAAATGGCTTACCATCATAATAAGCCATTTAAGAAAATGCATGGGGATTGGCCAGATATGCAGCTATCTGTTAAGAAAATGGTCTTGTTCCAATAGTTGAACCAGAAATTTTGGCTGATGGTGATCATTCAATTGAAGTTTGCTAAAAAGTCACAGAGAAAGTGTTAGCTGCTGTGTTCAAAGCATTGAATGAAAACAACATTTTCTTAGAAGGATGTCTTCTTAAACCAAATATGGTTACTTCAGGATCAACAAACCCAGATAGAAGCAAAGTAACACCTTAAGAAATTGGATACAGAACAGCTTTGGCTTTGAGCAGAACAGTTCCCCCTGCTCTTGTTGGTGTCACAGTAATTAAATATATTTATATTATTTAGTTCCTTTCAGGTGGTTAATCTGAAGAAGAAGCTTCATTGAATTTGAATGCTATGAACTAGTTGACTACAGTCAGAAAGCCATGGGCTTTGACTTTCTCCTATGGTAGAGCACTCTAAAATACTGCTGTAAAGACTTGGGCTGGAAAATAAGAAAACTGGGAAACTGCTTAATAAGCTTTGTTGACTAGAGCTAAGGCTAATAGCGAAGCTTAATTAGGTATTTCTATATTATTAATAAAATAGGAAAATATTAAGGTGGATAAGGTGGAGCATCTAACGAATCCTTGTTTGTGGCTGATTACAAATATTGATTATCATCGTATATCATAAAATAAAAACACAATCATCATTATCATTTTAAATTCAAAATAAAACACGTATTATAATTGGAAATAAAGTAAATTTATTCATGATGTTACGCATATTATTTTAATGATGCGTATAATTTTTGTACTTTATTAGTGTATTCCCAATTTATATCCTATTATTAAATGTAAAAGCTCTAGTTGCTCTAAAATTAGTTCAATCCAACTTCTGACGACATCTTTTCTCACATAGTTCAAGCTCCTCCTGATCCTATTTTTGGAATTGCTAATGCTTATAAGGCAGACACATCTAATACTAAAATTGATCTTGGAGTTGGTGCTTATCGTACAGATGAAGAAAAACCCTATGTGTTTGAAATTATCAAAAAATTAGAAAAAGAAATAGTTAATGATCCAACATTAAACAAAGTATGATCAATTAATATTCTAGGAATATTTACCAATAGAAGGATTAGCTGATTTCAATAAAGGTTGCTAAAAACTTATGTTTGGATAAAACAGTCCTCTTATTGCATCCGGCTAAATCGTTACTGCCTAATGTTTAGGAGGTACAGGAGCACTTAGAGTTGGTTTTGAATTTGTTAAGAGACATATTCCAGGAGATGTTTATGTGTCTAAACCCACTTGGAGTAATCATAATCAAGTCATTGAAAGAGCTGGATTAAATCAATTTGAATATCCATATTATGAACCAAAAACTAAAGGTTTTAATTGTGCAGGAACTATTGAATGTTTATCATAAGCCAGAATGGGATCAATTGTTTTATTGCATGTATGTGCTCATAATCCAACCGGTGTTGATCCAACAGAAGCTGAATGGCTATAAATTGCTGATGTTTGCAAAAGAAGAAGATTAGTTCCATTCTTTGATTGTGCTTATTAAGGATTTGCAAGTGGATGTATTGAAAAAGATGTTTTTGCTGTTCGTAAATTTGCAGAACTTGGATTCTAAATGATTGTTGCTTAATCATTCTCTAAAAATATGGGATTATATAATGAAAGAGTAGGAGCTGTTCATATTGTTACATCTAATAAAGACATTTCAGCAAGAGTATTGAGTAATCTCAAAATTGTCATCAGAACTATCTGTTCTAATCCTCCTGCAATTGGGGCTAGAATTGCTGCCAAAATACTCACTGATGAAAAATATTTCAATGCTTGGGTAGAAGAATTAAAAACTGTCACTGGAAGAATCATTAAAATGAGAACTTTACTTAAATAAGAGTTAGATAATCTTAAAGTACCTGGAAATTGGGATCATATCACCAAACAAACTGGTTTCTTCACTTTTACTGGCCTTACTCCAGAATAATGCGATCTATTAACTAAATAATATCATGTATATTTGCTTAGATCTGGAAGAATGTCAATGGTATTTTTATTTATTTATTAATCCCTAGGCTGGAATCACATCTAAGAATGTCAGATATTTGGCAGAATCAATTAAAGCTGTTGTATAAAATAAATGAGATTTATTATTGCATTATCATATTATCTATTAACATTGAAGGCTTAGCTCAGGGGTAGAGCGTTGGATTCCAGGTCCAGGGGTCGCGCGTTCAATTCGCGTAGTCTTCATATTTTTTTTATTTCAAATTATAATAAATTTTATATTCAATCATTATTTCAATGACATGTTTTTTAAATATTTATTTTCCTAATTCTTAAATTAATTTGAATTCTTATTAGTATTTTATTTTTATATTGATATTTCAATCATTATCACTGTAATTATTTATCAAATTAGATGTTTAATCTCTTATAAAATTTTAACTGTTCTATCATCACTTTATTAATATTCTTAATTCTTCATTTTCAAATTGATATCATTTATATTACATATTATTATCATCTAATCTAAATATTCATATAATCAAATTCATCTCATATTGAAATAAATTTTCCTTACAATTATAAGCAAGTTATCATAATTATAAGATTAATATATTTTATATATTCAAGAAATCTCTTATTCTATGGTTTATATTCTTGCTTATATTGCACTGATATAAATTCATTATTTTCATCTTAAAGTCATTTTAAATTTTAATTAATTCATAAAATGATAAGCAATTAAGAATTTTTGTAAACTTTTGCAGGAAAGTATAAATAGTCACTTTTTAAGTAATTATTTAACCATATTTTAGTATTGCTTACTAAATTATTTGCTAAAATAGCCAATCTCTGTAAGTTAGCTTAATATTATCCATGATCTAATTTTTTCAACTGCTTTATTTTCCCTTTCAAGTATAGCTTCAATACGCTTGGCATTATCACAAACTTTCATCATAAATATAAGAATTTCTTTCATATTTTACTATACTTAGAATAATTATTAATTAGGACAAATCTATGTATTTAATGCTAATGTATTTTGCGATTATAATTATTTTTCTTACTACTTTGCTTGTAATCATATCAGCCATCGAAAAAAAACTTTAAAATAAAAAAATAATAATTATGTTTCTCAGCAAATCGATACAATTTATGATGACAATTGGATTTGAGGCAATTATGAGAATACTTTCGGGAGTAATTAAATTAATTTTATTAAGCATAGCTTCTAATCTGCAAATTAGATAAAAACGGGACTCTTAGAATGTTATATGTTATTGAACAAGAATGTTGGGTAGGTGATTATGTGTATCATGCAATAGTTGTGATTATTTCACTTATTCTTTTGCTTTTTTTACTGTTAGCATGCAATAAAATATTTATTGACTTAAATAAAAATAAGAAAAATACATTTTCATAGAAAGAAGGTTCTTCTTATTTTAAAGTATTTTTGTATGTAATATTCTCTATGATATCCTCAACAATAATAAAATTGCCTCAATATTCATTCTGTGTAATTGCTATTTAAAATATAACAAGCTTATCACTATTTTTTAGTATTTTTTAAAAACGTCCTTTCTATAATTCTATTATATAAGGGATTTGGGTATCAATAACTGGAATTGTGTTTTATACTAATTTAACTTTACTTATATCATTCTTATTCGATCAAATAGTTATTGAGAATCTAATGATTGGCTGGATAATTACTTGTCCTATGATTATAGTCATTCTATTTGGAAGTTAAAAAGCTCAAATAGATTTATTGAAAATTAATTTTTCAAGATATGAATAAACTTAAATGATTATGAAAGAATGCGATTATCTATTAGAATTGGTAGATTCATCTGAAAAAAATTAAAATAAATAGATTTAAATATTAGGATTTCTAGAATTACATTAATAAACTTGTTTTAAATAAAATTGTGTTATTCTGATCAATAAAAATCTTTCAATAAAATATAAAGATAATCAAAAGTATACTGATGAAAGATAAATTTTAAAAGAACTAATAAATTAATTCTATCAAGTTGGTTTAAATAAGTTTCCTTAAAGTATTGATCTTAAATTACATTACAGTTATTTCCTTTTTGATTATTTAGATGACAGACAAAAAGCTTTATTTGAATTAGAAAAAGCTTAACTTTTAAGTCCAGATTTTGGATAGTAATTTTAGATTTATAATAAAATAAGAAAATTTATCGAATTGTCATTCTAAAGATAGTAATTTGGTGAAAATAAAATTTAATAAACTCTTTAAAATGATAGAAATATAGATTTTTCACAAAACTAATTGAAATAAAAATTTTCAGAATGTTCTCATCAACTACTTTAATTTTGGAGTTAACTTCTAGAAGAAATTCCAAATTTATAAGCTTTGAAAATACATGGTAAGTAAGTAATGGTTTCGATTCATTAAATTAGAAAATAATTAACAATTATGTAAAGATCAAGTACATTCAATTCAGCTTCTTTAAAAATTTTAAGTAAATTTAATGAATATGTATTTTAAATTATAGACACAGTTCAGTTTGCTTCAATTCGCAAAAATTAAGAAAATGATTAATTTTTTTTAGAATCCAAATTTTTGGAATAAAGTTTTTTATAAAGATCTGAAGATTTGGGTTCTTATTCCTCTCCTATATTAGTTCTGGAACTATTTAATAATAATAATTAAGTTTCAATTGTAAAAAATATTAATTAAGCTACCTATTCTTTATTAGGGTATTCAAAAACTGATATAATAGGGCATCCTATTTCAGATCTGTTATAAAATAAGTATATATCATAATATTATTAAGTTACTCAAAGTTACACTAATCATTGGTAGAAAGTTATTTTGCATCAGATTCATAAGATTAAATTTCAGTTTTGCCATCAAAATAGTTATTTTTTTAAACAAAATCTTAATATGCTGTATTAATATAAACTACTGGTTCTTTAATTTAAACAGATAAAGGAGTTTTTCTATACTTGAAATTGACTAAAGATATTTGTTATCGTAATTTTGCTTACATTATATTTAATGAAGATGGTAAAATTGAAAATATATCATCTACTTGTATCTCTATTTTAAAATTAGACATTCGTAAACTTTAAATAAGGTAATTATATATTTAATTATTGTTCCCATATTTATTAACTAATAAAGAAACCTATCTATGTAAAATGAAACATATTGCATATGATTATTAGAAACCAAAAGATAAAAGCACTATATTTGAAGATGAAGATAAAGAAGAACTAAATTCGATTGAATTAATGGGATAATTATTTGAAATATAATTGAATAGTTAATTTACCAAAAAAGGGGAAAAAGAATAACATTTTGGTTATTATTTAAAAATAGAATAAATTGAAAACAATCATCTAATCAATGCTCCTATAGTTAAAAAATATTAATCAAATATGCAATTTAAATATTTTCTTGAACAAAATATTTACATTTGTAATAATTTATCTAAATTTAGATGGAAATGCTAGTTAAATTAATTTATAATTAGACTCTGTTAAAGAAGAAAGCGAAATTTAAGAAGTAAACTAATAATCTATATTTATTTAATCAAGATTATAATCTAGAAAATAGTTCTCATTCAATTCCTATAGACTTAAAAAGATTTATGGTGCAGACATAAAAACCTTAAGATTATTTCAAAATGAGATAAAAGAAGTTTTAGATTACATTGAGGAGGATGAATATGAAGACTATGTTATGGAATTCACAGAAAACTCTAAATAAAAAGAAGAAATTAATAAATCTTAATTCAATAAGATCAATTCTTAAAATGACTTAATGTTATCCTTATAAAATATAAATTATCCAACTATATCGAGAAGACTAATTCTTCTAAACAATCTATTTATAGTTGCATTATTTATTCTAGCTTGTGTGATGTATTCAACTTTATATGATACTATAACAAAATTTCAAGCTGCTATAGAACTTGCAACTGCAAATAACTAAAGATTTAATTCTCTAATAAGAATATAATCAAACCTTTAAGACTTGAGAGGTTGCAACTTCAATATCGAAGCTTCTGGATTTGATATTAACAAAGAAAAATTTGTAAGTTATAATTTTTAGGAGTTGAAGAATGAATTAAACTTGTTGTTTGAATCAAATAAACTGTTAACTTCTTCTGAAGTAAAAATTAACTAAAAATATTAAGATTATATTGATTAATTTGAATAATCCATAATTTAGATGTATTTATTAGATGATAGCTATCAAACTTTTTCGTATAATTAAGCAGTTTAACAATTAATTGCAAGAGCTATAACTTTAAATAGTAGTAGTTTAGATAAATTCAATGACGAATAAGAGGATTTTCATTATTATTTGCATAACACCTTTAATTCTATTTCAAAATATTAGTATGTGTCTTAAGACTATTACTTTTCAAATATATAAAGTTTACTTGATGATTTAAAAACATTTGATACTTTTTTTTTTATTCTTTCATCTTGCTGTTTGTGTTTGATATTTTTATTTTGTTAATTATACGTTCGTTCTCATTAATCTAATATAAAAAATATTGTTTCAGCTTTTCAAGAAATAAAAAACTTTTATGTAAAATAAATAATTGATGGGATCCAAATGTTCATGTAAATACTTGAGACGAATGATGACGATGTAAAAGACTTTAATTATTTTAGATAGATTAAATAGATTTGGAAGAATATGAAAATTAAGAAGGAGAAATAACTAAGAAAAGTCGAAAAAGAAAATCTTAAGTTTTTATGAAAGGTGACAACAAAATTTAAATTCAAATAATTTTTGTTTCTTTGTTATTTTTTTCTTACTTCAATTATTTATACTTTAGTTCTTTAGTAAATAATAATGATATTTATTTTAGACAATTATCAATTAAACAAACTTATTGATTCCGCTTGTCAATATAACCTCCTACATTCCAACTTAATATACTATACTTGATAATAGTATAAGAGAAATGCTTTTTGATGAGAATGCTATCACTACGCATGAATTAAATTCAATAAAGAAGATGGTTTTTATGATTGATGAACTTTAGATTTAAGATGCTGAATTGCATGTATTAAATTAAAAAAATTAAGATATTCTATCATTAGAATATTCTTCACTTTTCAATTAGATTTATATTGTAAATCCATGTAAAATTATTATTGAAAATGATTTAACAGTGACTAATTAAACTTGTTTATCATTTAGTAAGAATATTTTATAAGATGGATTAGCGGTTGCTATTTCAAACTTTTTTTAAAATGCTTATGAAATGATATTGTAGTAAACTAAATATGATTCTAATGTTGTTTATTCAAATTTAACTTATAATCTTAGCACAGATCATAAGAAAAACTATACATATAATATTCTTAATAGTTTTTATAGTTAAGAAAATAGATAAATACAAAAAGTTTTCCTAAAGATATGTCATTTATAATTAATTAAAGAGTTATAAAGTTAATTAAATAATTATTACTCCTTCTTGTCATTTTAATTAACCCTACTATTCATGATATTTTGTATGATTACAATATTTATCTATTTTATAATTTGGATCCCATTATTAACCAATTTTTATCTTGAAATATAAAAAACTTTAGAAATTTTAACAATTATTCCAATTAAATATTTAAATAAAATTGAATAACTATAACAATATATTAAAAACTTGAAAGAGCATAATTATTGATTCATGAAATATTTATTATAAAAATATAAAACCACCTAACCCTAATTATAAAATTTTTCAAAAAAAATTCTAATTTTTAAATTTAAAATTTCCATATTTCATATTTTAATACCTTACAATTATAAAAATTATTTTTATATAATTAGAACCTTAAAAAAATTTTGAATTCGATTGCTTTAAGAAAAGTTAATAAGGTAACAAAAAATATAAAGGTCAATTTAAAGGAATCAAATTAGAATTTTATAAAGTTAAAAATAAAATCAATTTTAGGAAAATTGATAAGTGCCAAAATATGTCATTCCAATAAAATTACAAACTCATATTAAATGGATGGTTCATAGAGAAATCTTAAATGAAAGAAGCATTATAGGATTGTTTCATTCAAATTTTTATAAGTGAGATTTTGAATTCGACATTTAGTGAAATAAATAATCGATTAATAAATTGCAAAGTTAACATGTTTCTTTGGTGTAGATATCATATTAACTAAATTGAAAGAGCATATGAGAAATAAAATAATATTTTAAAGAATCTAGGATTTTTATAAACCATTATAAATTTTAGCCAAAGGAGCATCATCTAATGTATTGTTCATAAAAATTCAGAATTTTATTATGCTGCTAAATGTATTGATAAATCATATGGTAATGAAACAGAAAATTGAATCGTAATGAAAATGACATAATTATAAAGAATCCATGTTTTAAGATATCTCCATCAATAATGATTTAGATCATCAATCATTTATTAAGCATCATGCCGTCTACTAAGGGGACAACACATTTTATATGATTATGGATTTATTAGAAGGAAAAAGTTTGCTTGATGAACTCAGTAACCATAAAAATGGTTTTCCTGAGGATATTGTGAGAAATGTAATGTGGGTTTGTGATTAAACTATTTTCTAGTAATTCCTTTCTTGCATCGAACACATCCATTAGTAGAATATTATGCATCGGGAAGTAAAACCTGAAAATATTATACTTTAAAAAAAATCGGATTTGAATTCTTTGAAAATTATAGACTTTGGTTTGGCGACTTATTGCAACGTCGATAACTCATAACCTTATTTTATATATTTGAGATTTATTTCCTAAATATGGAACTCCTGATTATGTTGCTCCTGAAATAGCCAATTTAATTGATAAATTAGAGAAATATGATAATTTTTGTGATGTTTTTAATGCAGGTGGGATATTCTTTAAATTTTAAAATGTAAAATTAATATAGACTAACTGGTACAGATCTCTTTCCTGGTTTAGGATTTAATCCAGTATTAAAATTGAATAAACAATGCAAAATTGATCTAACTCCTATCTAAATGAAAAAAATTGACTCAAATTTAATTCAGTTAATCTAAAAAATGCTTGAAAAAGACCATCAAAAAAGGATATCAGCTAGTTCTTGCTTAAAAGATTATTTTTTGATAATGGTTATAATTAAAAAGTGACAGAACCAAAAATTTAACAAACCTCTTCTCAAAAAAAACAGTTTTTCTCCTCTGCTGGTAAAAATTTTTAGACTGCAGAGTTTAAAAATGATTCTTCTTCATAATAAATGTTACTTAAGATTATGCATTTAAAGGATTAAAAAGTCCATAAAAATGCAAAAGTAATGTAAAAATTCAATACAACAGAATTTGATCACATTATGCTGATTAAATAGTAGAGGAAGAAGATAAAGATTTACATCAATTTTAATTCTAATGAATAAAAGAGAAATTATAGTTTTCTATTATACCTTTACCAATTCTCTTTCAAATTTAGTGTATATAAACTTATATAACTCTATAAATAAAAAATTTTGTCATTAACCACTAGTTAAAGTTTGACTCCCTTTCAATCTACGATTTAGAATTGGATTTCTGTATGCATTATATGGAGCATCCACTGAAATTCTTTTTTTCAATATTTCTTCAGGACATGGAGAAGTTCTCATTTAGCTTACAATAGATTCGAGCTCACCTTCTTTTTAAAAAATTCCTTTTCTTTATTTCTAGTTACTCATACAAATTCCCATTTTTAAACTTTATTTTAATAATTTTGATTTTAGTATTAACGAAATAAATATTTGAAAGAAATAAAGCCAAATAAACGCTGTATTGTTTATGTTAATATAATTAATTAAAATTTTTCCTCTCAAAAATCATTAGCCAAACCAATTTTTCTTAATAATTGTGGTCCATAAATGTTAATTTCATATATTATTTTTAACTAATTTGATATTGTTCTTATATAGTTTATATTAGAGAATTATCCAGTATAAGGCAAAGCTATATCTTCTATGAAGTAATAGATTCCTTAATTTGCTATTTTAAGATTGAGAAGAAATTAAGTAACTTATTTGGATATTTGATTTATAATAAATATATGTATTAATAAATTTTTTTCTGTTAAGTGTTTGCATGTTATATACTCAAAAAATACAATAATTCCAAACTAAATTTAAAAAATAATTGAGTCACATTCTTTATTTTATTGTAGATTGTTCTCTCAATTATTGATATAAAATTGAATTTTAAATAGATTATAGTTTAAAAAGGAATCTGAAGTTTTTTTAAAGATAATTTCTATATCTTTGTAAAGCTTGCCTTTAGACAATAAGTTTTACAATTATCCTTAATTACTTTTAGACTTTCCATCATTGAGAATTCATTATTTTTAATGAAATCATGGAAATATATCAATTATGAAAGAGAAACATCAAGAGAGACTCAAAAATGTCATTAGAAAAAAGTTAATATAAAATATGGATGATAGAAATATTATGAATAATATATACAACTTATAAGGTATATATATATGTATCAATTTAAAGTAAAATGACATAATCACTCTGATTAAGTCTAAGGATTGGGTGAAGATGGTATTTCTTTTAATCTTCTACTAAGTATTGGATTCTTAAAAGGATTTAAATGGGATGATTAGCTTGCTCTTTACTATAAGATAAGAGTGCAGTCTTATGATAGTCTAACTTGTGCCACTACTTATTATAATTCACCATCATTTCTTGATTTTTTTTATTTTTGAGCAGCACAATTTCCCATATAATATATTTATATTAAAGAAGATTTTTTTAAATTTTATATGTTTGTATTAAAATTTACTTTTTTGTCATTCAGGCTATAATTTAAGATCATATTATATATTTGATTATAATTGTTTTCAATTTTTTCCATGAACAAAGCTATAGAATGCATCTTCATCATCTTTATTTTTAAATGGCCCTGCAATAAAGTTAATAGTTAAGGTTTCAGCAAAGCCTTCATCTTTAGTCGGTGGTTTTATTTTTGAATAAATCATATTTATGGGCATCTTACCTACTTTTTTTGAAAAGTGTTCCCTAAAATTATTGGTATCTCTTTATGTATCATTATGAAGACATAAATCTTTAGATACATCCAAGAAAAAAGCTCTAACAGGATAATTATTATCACTAGCTAATTTTACAAATGCTGCTCTATCTTCTACAGTTGGATTTGTATTATCTATGACAATATATTTCTTTTCTTAAATTGCCTGTTCAGCAACTTTAAGACATTTTTCTTTAGTTTTCAAAGTATCTCTATTAATTCTGGTATAATCATTTAAATAATTGTGTACAAAAGTTGATTTACCTGATCCAGGTGCTCCTATCATTATTATCACTTAAGATATTAATACTAATTACTTTCTGGTTTATCTGGTTTTATAAATTTATTAACCTTGCTTTCTTTAAATAAGTATCCTTCCTTCGGTATACTTTTAGGATTAAATCCTAATTAATTAGAATAATCTTCATTAAGATCTTCTTTTAAAAATAATTGCTCTGGAGTTTTAAAAATTAAACCTAAATTTATTGCAAATTTCCTTAAAATTTTATTTTTAAATTATACAAATCAGTATCAGTAAAATCTTTTTTTTTCCCTTTGATTCTTCCTGCAGCATCTCCACAATAAATACTTTTTTTCATATCTGCCTTTGTTCCTGTTAATTCTTAAAAATCTGTCCACATATCTTAAATTTATTTTAATTTATTTACCTACTCTTGGTTTTCTGTAATTGTCATCACTTGAAGCAATAAATGCAGCTAAAGGAAGTTTGAGATCTTTTTATAAAGATTCTATTTTTGTTTTTATATCAGATTCTTTAGTGTGTCCTTTTTCTATACCATTTTGATTTGTAAATATAACAATGGAGTATCCTTGTTTAGAATAGTCTTAAATTGTTGGAATAACTTTTGGATCCCACCATTGCCAATCATTTGCATCCTTTGCAAATTTCTTTCCACTTTTAGTTTTTATCAAGGTCTCATCCATATCAAAACCTAAAACTAATGGCTATGGTTAAAAATCCTAATATAAAATAGATCATTTACTATTGTCCCATAAATAAGAGAGCCCTTCTTATTCCAATCCCAATCTTATGGTTTTTTTTATTTCATTTAAATAATAATAAAATTATACCAGAATTTTGTTTAAAGTCTCATTAAGTTCATTTATTTATTTATACATTCAATAAATATTTAATTGATTATTCTCCATAAAATCATGGATTAACAATCTATTGTATAATTAAGAATGTGCTGATCTTTTCATTCAAATTTAAAACAATATCAAATTTACCAAAAAAATCTATAAATGATTATCTAAGAAAGAATAGAAAAGTTACTTTTGTTTTTAAACATTAACTTATTTCATATTGACGCTCTTTAAATTATATTTTATGCATGAAATTATTTCATTATTCTTAATTGTATTTATTTATAAATCTCATGATCATTATGGATTGGTCAGTTAATTCTTTACAGACTAAGCATCTCTCAAAACTGGGCATTTAAGGTTTGATTTTGCTTCAAAAAATGGTTGATTTCCATTTAAAAAATATGCTGCAAACAAGGCAGTGCTTCCGCTTACAATTGCTAGGATAGGCTTCATTCTTTTATATTTAATTATTATAATATTTTTATCAAAATAATTATAGAAACTTGAAATCTTCGTCATTAGCAATATTATATTATCATAATCATTAGATAAACTCAATTTATGAGCTAAATATTAATAATAAAATCAACTATTGGTTTTTAAGAATATAGATAATTATATGTTCTTAATAAATGGCTCTTAATTTATTAAGCATTTATCTAAAATATTTAGAAACTCCTAGGTTTATCTTTTTAAATANTAAAGGAAGTTTGAGATCTTTTTATAAAGATTCTATTTTTGTTTTTATATCAGATTCTTTAGTGTGTCCTTTTTCTATACCATTTTGATTTGTAAATATAACAATGGAGTATCCTTGTTTAGAATAGTCTTAAATTGTTGGAATAACTTTTGGATCCCACCATTGCCAATCATTTGCATCCTTTGCAAATTTCTTTCCACTTTTAGTTTTTATCAAGGTCTCATCCATATCAAAACCTAAAACTAATGGCTATGGTTAAAAATCCTAATATAAAATAGATCATTTACTATTGTCCCATAAATAAGAGAGCCCTTCTTATTCCAATCCCAATCTTATGGTTTTTTTTATTTCATTTAAATAATAATAAAATTATACCAGAATTTTGTTTAAAGTCTCATTAAGTTCATTTATTTATTTATACATTCAATAAATATTTAATTGATTATTCTCCATAAAATCATGGATTAACAATCTATTGTATAATTAAGAATGTGCTGATCTTTTCATTCAAATTTAAAACAATATCAAATTTACCAAAAAAATCTATAAATGATTATCTAAGAAAGAATAGAAAAGTTACTTTTGTTTTTAAACATTAACTTATTTCATATTGACGCTCTTTAAATTATATTTTATGCATGAAATTATTTCATTATTCTTAATTGTATTTATTTATAAATCTCATGATCATTATGGATTGGTCAGTTAATTCTTTACAGACTAAGCATCTCTCAAAACTGGGCATTTAAGGTTTGATTTTGCTTCAAAAAATGGTTGATTTCCATTTAAAAAATATGCTGCAAACAAGGCAGTGCTTCCGCTTACAATTGCTAGGATAGGCTTCATTCTTTTATATTTAATTATTATAATATTTTTATCAAAATAATTATAGAAACTTGAAATCTTCGTCATTAGCAATATTATATTATCATAATCATTAGATAAACTCAATTTATGAGCTAAATATTAATAATAAAATCAACTATTGGTTTTTAAGAATATAGATAATTATATGTTCTTAATAAATGGCTCTTAATTTATTAAGCATTTATCTAAAATATTTAGAAACTCCTAGGTTTATCTTTTTAAATATTATCAATAATATCATTTACAATTAGTAAATTTATAAATAATAAATTTTTATTGACTTTTTAATAAGAATTTTTTTGTTTTATCTCAATTCGCATTCATTAAATTTAAAAAAAGTAAATTTAGATAAAAAACTGATTGTTTAATACTAGAATTACTATAAATTCTTACACACTATATTATTTTATTTAGATAGAAAATTTATATAATTGATTCATTAATAAAATACTCTAATTTTATGAAAGATTGATATAAATTACTTTATTGTTAAACCGAGTGAAGACTGTTCAAAGTATTTGATAATTATTTAAATGACTCCTAAATTTTACGAATGAAAAATAAGGAAAAAATTAAATAGTTTGAAGAAATAATATGATGGCTTCATGAATGATTTTGACAAGATGACCCCAACATGGTCTCCTTTTAAATTTATTACCTAAATACCTAAATAATTGATTAATATTAGCAATACTTCATGCTTGTTATTTAAATTTATAAAGTAAACTGCTCAAGCTGTAGCTCTAAGCAGCAATGATCCTTTAGCTGCTTCAGAAATTAAATTAAAACGCACATATAAGGAAGTTAAAAATCGTAATTTGTATTTCCATCATATATATTTTATAATTATCAAAGTGACAATCTTGACTTTAATTAATACTAAAAGAAGAACTCTCTAAAAATAGGAAACTGTGAATTTGAGTAGATAATAAATTTATTTTTATTTTAATTTAGTAGTTTTATTTTCAAACTTTTGAGTACTACGATTTTTATGAAAATAATTAATAATGACGTTTTTAAATTTTCTTTTTTTAGTTTAAAATATTATATTCCATTTTTTATATCATAGCAGAAGCATATTTAAATTTTAAGAAGTAATAAAGTATTCTCAATTAAATTATAACGTAAAGCGTTTTGAGTAATTAAGGTTATAAATAAAAATGTTCCATTTAAATTCTTAATTTGAAATAAATTCTGCTAAATATTAATATGTTGTATTATAAAAAATTGTTTAAGGATTGTATTTATTTTTGAACCTTAATAAGTGGAAAATTATCTTAACATACTACTAGAGAATATTTTATTGTTTCTCAAAAATTAAAGTTGCTGCTTGAATATAAAAAAATTTAGAAATACAGCTTAATTTTTATTTTGATTTGATTGAATAATCGAATTTTCAAATTGATATTAAAAAAAATTGCATTAGTATAAGTTTAAAATTGAATGAATGTATTAATTCTAAATTTCTTGTAAGAAAGTACAGAATAGTGAGTTATGTTATTTGTAAAATAATGAAAATATATAACTAAATTCAATATAATAATAAGTAATTAAATTCACTGCAAGATATTAATGAAAATAAATAAAATATTAGAAATAATTTTTATTGCTAATTAATTATGTCTTCTTCCAAGATCTTTTATTCACCTTCACGTTCTAACGTTTCTAATGTATAAGCTTATGGAGGAGATAGAGCTTTGTCACCTAGTAGAGCAAAAATATCTTAATTATCAGAAAAATTATCTAATTTATAACACTAGATAGATGAAGATTAAGCTGTAAGAATTAATAGTTAAGAATCAATAGTTTAAAAAGGAAACATTTGAAACTAAAGTTAAGATTTTAGAAGATAAGGCCACAAAGTAGGCTTAGGCTGATGACTCAAAATTTAAGTTATTGAAAGAACAGCTTTAAAAAGTTGAAGAAGGAGCTTAGAATGAGAAAATAATTAGAGAGGTAACTATATGTTATTAATGATAGGCTGGAGATGAAAAGTTAAGATCGAAGGATTTAAAAAGTTTGGAAGGCTTTCTAAACAGAGAACTATAATAAGAGAAAGTAAATAGGAAAGATTTTGAAGGAAAAATAATCAAGAATACAGATGATAAAGTTTACAGTTTAAGGTTGGATTTAGCTAGATAGAAGAAATATAGAGAAGAAACAGAAGAAAAGAATGCTCAGGAAATAGGTGATCGCATTTTATAACTATAAGAGGAAGTTGAGGAAGAAAGAAGATAAAGGTAAATATTTTTATAATTCGATAGAGAATAATAAAACTAAAATACTATCAAAAGATTGGGTGATTCCATTTTGAAATTATAAGAAATATTAACAACTGAAAAGAAATAAAGAGAGCAAGCTCAAAGCTAAATGTTCAGAATGTTAGATGAAATGAATCACTATTTAAATAATGAATTACATAGTGAAAAGAATGAGAGGGAAGCAACTGAAGAGAGTCTCATCAATTTAATTGATCAAACTTGCAACAGAGTCGAAAATTCATTAAGAAAATGATAAAATAATAATACATATTTTCTTATAATATTTTTCATAATTATAGATATTGTATAATAATAATATTATTAGATATATTGATATGAGACTGAAAATTAAAAAATAACAGAACTTAAATAAATTGATTATGCTATTACAACTAATTCATTCCTTTTTATTGGTGTACTTTAATAATGGGTTATCTTATTGCTATAATTATTGTGGGATTTATCTAAAAGATATCAATTATGTAATTATACTATTTGAAGCGAGAAGGTTTAATCATAGGGGAGGCTTAAAAAGGAGAATTTTATTGTTTAGTTTAAGAAAGTGAAATATTTGGAATCGAATCGACACTATCTGTTTTTCCAGTAAATAGTGGTGAATTCATTTATAAGGAATTTTAAGAATCAATATTCTTTTATTATTTGAGTTATTTAGTAGCTAAGACTCCTGGAGAAGATTAAGGTGAATTAATTAATTAATTCTTCCTAAAGGCTTCGAATTTAACCGATCTTTTATAGAAATAAAACATACTCTTCATTCAATGCATTCATTCTTGAACTTAAATCACTTTCATCTCCTTCTTCTATAAAATCATTTTAATTGTCTTCAATCATAATTTAATTCATTTCTTATAAAAATGGATGCATCAAACATTAATTAGCTGTTATTCTTTTTTAAGGATCTTTCTCAAGCATTTTTCTGAGAAGATCTATAGCAGGATTAGGAGCATTCTATAATTGCTTAATTGAAAAATCAATATTGGCTTCTCTATTTTATTTAACAACTGTTGCATAACTTTTTCCAGGAAATGGTTGTTTGCCAGTTATTAATAAGTAAAACACCAGACCAAGACTATATATATCACAAACTGAACTATAGTGACCTTTCATATCTTTCATATTAATGACTTCTGGAGCAACGTATCCTGGTGTACCACATCTGCAATATAAATAAATAGGTTCATTTACATAAGTAGCTAATCCAAAATCAGCAACAACAACCGAATCCATTTTTCTACATTTTAATAAATAAAATACTTTGATTATTTAAATAAAATATTTTCTAATTTCAAATCCCTGTGCATAATTTCTTTTTAATGCATATGACACAATCCTTATAAAATTCCAACTAAGATTTATTGTATTTATTTTATTGAGAGAATTGCTTTTTCCTTAATCAAATCATATAGCGATCCCCCTTAGAGCATTTCTAATCCAACATATAATGAATTATTGGTTTCATAGATTTCGTACATTCTCATTAAATGAGGATGACATAATTTTCTCATTATTGACAGTTCATTTACAATAGCCTCTTTCCCGTTTTCTTCAGCATATGCAGCTTATTTTGAAAAGGCTTTGATTGCCATTTAAACACCATCTTCAATTCTTTCAGCCAAATAAACCTAAGAAATACTATGATGGTTTACAGATGCAAAATTTCCTTTTCCAATTTTTTTGAATACTCTAAATAGTTAATGAAACTGCCATTAATTTATTCTTGATTATAAAAATTCCCTCCATTAAACTATTACTTTTTCATTCCCTTATAATTGATAGGTAGGATATTCTGCTTAACCAAAATCTCTCATTAAATTCATTCCAATTATTTAACCTAGAGAATCATCTTCCTCATCTTTTTTTTATACAGAAGTTCTTATGATTTCAAATTTAGTCTCAAAATCAAGTTTCAAATATTTATAAGGCTAATCAGGTTTCTATTTATAAATATTAGAAATCATAATTACTTTAGCAAGAAGAATATATTGATCGTATCCATATAAGATTATTGGTTTGTTTTTCTTCAGTTTTAAGAATTCAGATTTCAAGATGGGTTTTTCATTTTTCAATTTTATTTCTTTAGGAATTTGGATCCAAAGTTTTTAATTCATGATAATAATAATAAATTTTAACCAGTCTAATCAAACCTTTTAAAACAACATCATTTAGATTAGTTATTCAATTTCTAATCCTCCAGCTTCACCATTATTAATAATTTTTATCGAATTTTCTCCGTTTCCAATTGTTCCCCCTGCTGCCTCTATCAATTAAATAATTTCATAGTCTTTTAGATTTGATTTCAAATCAGGACTCAAATTAAATTATTTATTTAGAAAAATAGATTGTGATAGTGAAGTCTCAATAGAATTTAAGATACTTAAATTAGTTGTTTTCAAGACATAGAGATAAGGATTCTAAACTTGCATAGAGGAAAGAGAATCCTTTATCCATTAAGAGTTGACTATCATTTTCCCTTAATTAATTGCTAGAAGTAGATTGAAAGTTCTTTTAAAGGTTTCCATAACCAGAATGTTATATTTTTCAAAATCAACCTAAATTCCCATTTTCAATAATTTTAGTAGGTCATCATTGCAAACAGAAAAATTGGAAAATTTGATCCTATAATCTCCATTCAATTATTTAATCTAACAATATTTACTTGATTTGTACATAATTTTAAACTAATAAATAATGTTTGGATTAGCTTTTTTATTTCTTTATATTTTTAGATTGTATTTCATTAGATTCAGTTTGTACTTTCTTTATGATTGTAGGTTCTAGAAATGTTGTATTTTGTTTTTTATGATTGATAAGATTGATCTTGATGATTTTAGGTTTAGCATACTCAAAGGTGATAGTTTATTCTTGCACTATAATTTATTTCTGACCAGTAGTTAAATCTAATTCATATTCTTTATCTATCCTCAATAATTGAGCATCTCCCTATCCATTAATTCTATGAATATTAATGATTGGTTATATCCATAAAATATTGAATTCGTAATTTAATTTGAAACATTCAGGCAAAGCAATTTGAATGTTAGACTATTCAGTATTGCCAACAATAGAAATACCTGGTTGAACCTTATATTTTTTATCAAAGGCTTTCATTATGATTGGTTTCATATTATATAAATAATATTTTCACATAAATCAAGACAATTAAATGTTAGGAGGCCTTTATGGTTTAAATTTTAAGTAGCATTCTTACCTTTTCTTATGTCTGATAATACCTACAATAATTACAGGAATTGGACTATTTTATATAGATGAAGCTCTTACTACACTGTGTGTTTTGTAATTTTTTTATGTAGTGATA